CAAATTAGCTATTTATCAAGTATTTCTATTGGCTACAAATATATATTACATTTTCGACATTCAACCAATCAATACCAACCTAGTTGCGAAGCATAAGGGGTATGTGGTATTGATTGGTTGTGTCGACGGGCTAGTCAGCTTTATTCTATGAAATCTATGATTGGTGGACGGGATGGAACTTCACAGACCACGTGATAAAAAAAAAAGAAACAAAAAAAAGAAAAAAATTTACGGACATATTATTTTATTAAGACAAGCCAGTTTGCGCTCGCTACGCTCGCTACAGCGAAAAAGAAATATTTACTACTTTCCATTGGATTAAAAATTAGTCATTCATCAGGCATCAATTAGGTATTCCTATTGGTTAAGAATATATATTTTAATTTATGCCCGCCCATTCAACCAATCAATTCCACATACCCCTTATGCTTCGCAACGGGGTGGTGTTGATTGGTTGTCTGGACGGGCCAGTCAGCTTTTTCCTATGAAATTTATGATTGGTTACATTTTACATAATAAATGTTGTGGGAACGGAATAATGATTTTACATATCACGTGACAGAAAAAAAAAAAACTTTACGATCATATTATTTTATTATATACAGAGATTTACATTACATACGGAGTACACTGACGACATCTGGAGCTGCGTAGGTGCACGGCGTTAACAACTGGTGGTTCTAACGCTCACTACTTTGACTATTGGCTTAATCTTCCCACAGCCTGATCGCTAACAACCGTCTGCCTTCGCCTTGCTGTTACTATTCAATTTTTGGAGATGGCGTCACAACATCGACGCCAGTCGTCGTATGAAGACGTCTTCGATCTCCCTGGACAGTCTCAGATGCCGGCACAACCCCACCAGCATCATCAAACTTCCTTCGAAGATGTGATTGATTTCTCTGCCGAAGAGCCTCTGACTGTAGATCAGCGGTCTCACGCTCACAGGAGGTTCGAGAAGGCCATCGAATACTTCGGCAATCACATCAGCTCCAGTGCAAAATTCAAACCTCACCTGCTGATTCGCTATACATATGAATTTGCACGGTCTGAGTTATCGAAAGATATGATACTACGTTTCTTCTTCGCCTCTATAAAGATAGACATCGACAGCACTGAGGATATTGAGTTAAATGATAGTTTACTTCACGAGCTGAAGGAGTTTGCAGACCTGCTTTTAAATCATTTCTTTGCTCCGTGTAAGCTTTGCCCGATTAAACTAAACCCCTTGGTTTCTGCTGCTGACGCTTTTTTTGCAGTGAAGTCAACTGGCACGATAACCCCACAGCCTTCCCCTGCTATCCTTTCGGCACTTCAAAGAGTACAAGGACAACATGAGTTCATAGGCACGCCTGATCGAATTGCAGTCCTCCGCAGCCTATGCTTGGTACGCGATCACCACAAATGCGTGGTTTCGCAGTCTTTTGACGTCAAAGAAGGAATCGCTCGCCTGTCAAATGACCCAGATGCTCGAGATGATGAGGGAACGCAGCTTAGGGGCCAATCGTTATATGCGTTAGAGGTGGCCCATATCATTCCCCATTCTCTAATGCAATCAGACACGAGTTCTGGTTTGGTAAGTCACTGCTTCAAAATAATCAGAATTTTCTATTCGTTATGAGTTAAGTTTTCTTACTTCCCATTCTACACAGTCCGAAGCCAAGAAGACCGTAATCCAGATATTGAATATGTTTGACTATAACGTTAGTCACATCATCAATGGCACTGACATCGACAGACCGCACAATGCTATGAGCCTTAACTCAACAGCCCATCTTCTATTCGGAAATTTCGACATCTTTCTGGAACCTGTTGATGGCCAGGAGCATACATATTATGTCAAAAGTCTGAAGTCAGCTATATCGCTGGCGTTTGGTCTCCCGGTGACACGCAAACTCTTTCTCAGTGATGACAGGTCGATCGAGCCTCCTTCACCTCGACTCCTTGCTTTGCACCGTGCCATTGCTCATATCCTTTTCTTATCTGGAGCCGGTGAGTATATAAACAAGATTCTGGATGATTTTGATAAAACGGGAGTTCGAGCCGATGGTACCACAGAGTTGGGACGGATGGTAAGCTGGAGAATGAGCGGTGGTCTGGGAGGTATAGCTGTATGATACGTTATTGTCAGAGCGGGTTGGCTGGGTTGTGGAGTGTGTTCTTCTGTCTTGGTATCGGTACAAGCAAGGTTTATGTATAGAGTGGTTATAAAAATCCAGCGACTAGGCCTGTAAACTAGGCCTGTAAATCAATAAGGACTATGTGGTAGAGACTCCGAGTAAGATAGATACGTGGAAGAATGCCCCATATTATAGATCAACAGACAAGAATGCAGTAACGACTGGCACGGATAAATAACAGAACGCAAGAGAATATCCATCCTAGATAGATAGATACCGGCATACAAATACTCTTGAATGCTATCCTCGACATAGGCATTGTAAGAGCAGAAGAAACCTAGAGTCGTCTACTGTGCCACCAGTACATATCTTCCGGGCGACGTCGAACAAACGAGTGCGTGCCATCCCAGCGTCTATCCGACAGATATGGCTCGTCAAACTCTCCTTCCAGGTAAAATAGAGATAAAGATTCATCAGACGAGTCTATGAAATCACGATCCTTCGAACGGTCACGTCGTCGGCCTTTTCTCCTTCGGTGTCTCCTATCATGCGCTTCCCTTAGGAAAGATGGGACACCCAAGAGAGACTCGTCGTCTGATGACCAGTCTGATTCAAGGAGCGTTGATGCCCTGCCTGCTTCGGTGTGGGTATCAGATGCATCATGAAGCCGTCTTCGCCTGAGAGGACGGAACCAGGGGTCACGGTGGTGTCTCCCATCACGCCGATGACGTACAGCTATTGGTACTCTGGGTGGTATACTATCTAGCTCCAGTGGAGGGGCCCTGGCACGCTCTGGTGTAAACATTGGCGTGAAAGCGGCGGGCTGGCTTCTGTGGCCGCCGGGGACAACTCTGCGGAGTGACGGTTCTGGTGAACGCGCGAGTTGATGTGCCGCTATGTGTGCTTGGGTGCGGGGGTCCAATTGATGCCGGCTAGGTGGTTCGTTGAAAAGACGGTGGCGTGTTTGCATTGGTATATCTTGGTGATGAGCATGTGCTCCTGCATGTGGGTGCGGTTGCCTGAGGAGGTGCTCTGCACTCCTAAACCCAGGACCGGGAGCGTGTATGTATGGATAGCGGTGGCGACCAAGCACAGAAGCCATGGTTCGGCCAGGCTGGATGCCTGAGTGGTCTAGAGGCCCAGTGAGGCCAAATCGTTCGGCTCCCCCATGACGTCTAAAGGGGAACGAAGGCATGTTGGAGATATTTCCTTCAACAATTTCTCTTGATAGAGTATAGCATGCACTTTGTCTATCTTTGCAGAGAAAACAAAAGATAGCCAAAAGAGAGAAATCATCAGGGCCAAATGATGCATATTTATATTATGGGGTATCCTGTCAATGCTGGGGGTATATGGAATGGGAATATGTTTGCTTGCTGGGACTTAACAGTCACCAGGCTGTCAACGCTTGACCTCTCGGTTGGGGATTCCACAGCCAGGCAGCAGACGGTTCCTTGAAGGCGAAATGGCTGAGAAAAGCAAACAAACATGACCATCGGCGCAAACAAGTGGTGGACTTCCTGCGCTTCCAGTTCCTGTTGTTGGCAGGATCTGGAGCTCAGAAAGCCACTCCCCGGCCACCTTGGAGAACCAGACCGCCACTGACATGTTTAGATCCGGGGAGATGACGTTGATCCACATCATTCCCGGTAGACATCTCTTAGATGGGCACTGGTAGCCCTCCTTGTGGGCCATCTTGATGCTGGAGATCTCCCGTCGGTCTCCTCTATATAGACGTGTTCCTGAGGACCGTTAGCCATCGATCTCCTCCTGCAATGGCCATATTCCACACCTCAAGCATCCTCTCGGTTATAGTAAACATCCTTAGGAGCTGTATATCAGCGGTCTTCTCGAGATTGAGTCCGTCTCAAACAACGCCTCTCTGGCAGCCATTCCACGGTACGCTTCCCAACGTGCAACACGCAGCCTTTCGTCGCAGGCAAATCTTTGCGCCAGAGCCAGTCAAACGCCATCGAGCACGCTGCCTATGTCGTAATATCCCCGAATCACCGTCCGCCAGCATCGAGTCTGCCATCCCCGCCGTCGCGGGCTGTATATCAACCTCGTCGTCCGCGTCGTCGACCTCGAATTCTTTTTTCTCTTTCGCCTTTTTCGCTTCGTCTGAAGGCGGTGCGTGGACAATACCCGAGTGCGTGGCCACAGCGAGCTCCCACCAGCAAGCAGCGGCGTCACCTGACCTCACCGCCGGCAGCAGCTACTGCCACGCGGTCCCGTGACTAGCCCTTGTTCCCACCTCCAGCCATCCCAAAGAAGCAAAAGATCTTTTTTTTCTTTCGCTCCAACCTCGACTTCAACCGCCAGACGTCAACGCCAACCACAGCGACAACCCAGCATCTTTAGCGACTTCGCATCTCCAGCATTCAGCTCTGATCCAGCTCTCTCAGCGCCTTGCATCGCCGCTTCGTCGTCTTTTTTCTCCTCTTTGTTCCTGGCGCGCTTGGGATTCTTGATCCGCTTTGGTAAGCACCGCTTGTCGTGTGTCCTGCTAAATCTTCGTCTTCACCTACGGCTTATAGCCGAGACGCAGTGAGGCTCAGGACAGCCGCAGACACGCTCGATCCTGCTTCTGTCTGTCTTTTAGAGTTGTCTCGTTGCTGACGGTGCTGTCCAGCTTACCGATTACACCATGTCTTCACCTTTGCCATCTACTTTTGCCTCTGCGGCAGCTGGAAACACACAAGATCCGGCCCCTGGCTCGCGGAGGGATGCTATGAATAGTGGTGAATGGTAGGGTCCTTTCTGTCGTGTTTGGAACGATATGACGCGGCATACCTGGCTGCTCAGGATGCTGTCGTTTCTTCTTCTTTTTTTTACTAGTTCAAGGATGTGGCTAATATTTATATCAGGTCTCGAAATCGTATGAACGGAGCTACGCAGACGTTCCGGAGACCATCTGTTGCTACCAATCCTTCCCATAATCGAGAGAATGCGCAACAGGCCCAGTCAAACACCTCCAATTCTTCCAGTGCTGCCTATATCCCACCCCACCTCAGCTCCAATTACCCGTCGGCGCGTAGTGGAAACGATAATACCTATTCCAAGGAACAGCTTTTGAATCTTTATAAGAACCACCGAGGGTCGAAGGACTGGGGGAAATCAATCACTGGTTATTTCATGGGCGACTGGGACCCCCGCAGTGAACGCCCATCCACAAACGGAAGTTGGGGCAAGCAAGATGACTCCAAAGATAATACTACTGCAAATCCGGAGGTCTGCTGGGACCATAAGGGCCAAAGTGAACCTCTAGGCCTATTGGATATGAATGATGAGGAGAAAGAAGTGCGTGGCACTATCCCTTGCTTTTGATACCCCCCTTGACAAGATAATGATTGTCCTTGCTTTCCATTTTCCTTTTTCAGCATGCTGATGTTTTGGCTATAGTTGTTTTCCACCTCTGTCAACTCGCCTCTCAAACCCCCACCGCAAAATTCCAACAAGGACGGCTCTTCATCTGTCGGAACGATTGGTCGCAAGTCGTCCATCTCTCATGGCCACATGAATTCCTTCAATTCTACTTCTCCAGCTTCCGCCCGGAATGTGCCTCGCAGGCGGGGGACGGGAGATTCTGGAAATCCAATGTCACCCACCAACTCCCGCTTTTTCCGTGACGAACCAAACACCGCGACCCCGCCTCCAGCTATTCTGCGTCGAAAGACCGATATCAAGGACTCTTCAGGCGACTCGAAGTGGGAGGATAAGGACAAGAGTTTTGCGGAACGAGACTCTTCATTCGACATCAGCTCCCCGTTTGGGTCTCTCAAACGTAGCACTACCAACCCAGTCGGCGCCGTTGGATCCAACTCTCCGTGGTCGTCTAACCAGGGGTCTGCCTTTGGTTCCATGGGAGTAGGGGCATTTGGTAATTTTGCTCTTGGCAATGTTGGTTCCCAAGGCGGCACAGACAAGAAACCAGGCTTTGGGAGCGTACGCAGCGAAAGCCGGTTCAAAAACCTGCTTTCCAAGTCAAGCTCTGAAGATATCGCTAGTAGTGGTAACAACAAGGACAAATCGTCGTCTGGTACCGGTCTTGATCGCCTACCCGAAGCCGAGGACGACGCTCCCCGAGATTCTGCTGAAGAAGCTCTCAGGAACCGCCCTTCTCGCAGCGAGACTAACCCCTTTGATGAACGCCGCAGCGGTAGCGCGGCCCTAGGAGGTCAGGAGATAGGAGGCATCGACCAATTCGGGCTCTCCTCGTTTGGGATGCCGGGCGGCACATCCGCTCTTCGTGATCTAGTTGCGTCATCTCAACCCCCCAGCCATGCGCATCATGAACCCATGAGCCCAACGCATACTAACCCTTATCAGAGTCCGCGTGGCGATCGAACTGCCGATAATGGTGTTGTTGGCACTGGAGATGCCGATAATGAAGGCTCTGATATCCAGCAACACGCGCGTCTTCCAAACATTGGCGACCTGCGCGATGACTCTGCTCATGGCTCCTTTGGATCCATGTCGCGGTCCGGAATGATTTCTGACATTCCTGCTGCCGACCGCAGTCAGACTTCAAGTGTAGGTGCTAATAGGGGCTTCCCGGGACTTGGAGGACTGGGAGGGCTCGGTTCACTAGGTAACTCCGGCGGATGGCCTACCACGAGCGCCACTGGCACGCCAACGCGAGAAAGAACTGCCTTCGGCTTTGGTGACCCGATATTCGGCCCCATGTCTGAGCTGCAATCTCCAAGTAACTCTGCTCTCGGAGGAGGGGGCCTCTTTGGCTCTCAAACTAGTCTCTCAAACATGGGTGGTGGCCCCCGTCCTAGTAAACTGGGCTCTCTCTTCCCGCCTGCCATGCAGGAGCAAATGCGCAACGAACAGTCTCACTCCAAGGACGAGCCTGGCAAGCCGCAAGGTACGTGCATATATTTATTGTTGCATTACTAAATATAAAAACAGAAAAGGCTCACATATTCTATAGATCCCTTCATGTCTCTAGAGAATCCAGTAAGCTTACCACATCCATCTACCACGACTTCGCATACTCCTACAGTCACCGCCGGTGGAACTATCACCATTCCGCCCGGCCCAGGGTTACTAGATAATGGCAACGGTAACCAATATGGTGCGTCTGCCTCCAACCAGCTTCCACCAGCCCAGCAACGACAAATGGTGATGCCGGACCGTATGCGCTGGATCTATCGGGATCCCCAGGGTAACACTCAGGGACCGTGGTCTGGCCTTGAAATGCACGACTGGTTCAAAGCTGGCTTCTTTACCGCAGAACTACAGGTTAAGAAGCTCGAGGATGCAGAATATGAGCCTCTCGCCCAGCTTGTCCGACGTATTGGCAACTCTCGCGAGCCGTTCCTTGTCCCTCAAATTGGTGTACCGCATGGTCCCCCAATGAACCAGCCAGGACCATGGGGGAACTCTTCACAGTCGCAGACTGGGGCAGTTCAGCCTCCGTTTGCCAACAGTTTCCCCAGCTTTGGTACCACTCTTACTGCTGAACAGCAAAATGCATTGGAACGCAGAAAGCAGGAAGAGCAGTACCTTATGGCCAGACAAAAGGAACACCTTGCTCAGCAGCAAGCTCTTATGAAGATGCAGCAGATCCAGGGCCCAGCTCACCCTATCAACCCACAGCTTCAGCACCATTCTAGTGCTCATAGTCTTCAAAGCCAGCCCAGCTTTGGTAGCATTACTTCTCCTGCAGCTTTTCAACCCACACCTATGCAAGCTCCTATCCAACCTCCCCACTCCGTTCCGGCTTTTTTCGAGGGGCCCATGAGACAGAATACCGGCCCTCCGGGGCCCCAAGGCGGCGCGCCGGATTTCGGCACAGGACAGGATGAATTACCTGCCTTGCTAGATAGAATGAATGTTAACAGGGGAGCTGGTCAGTTTGGTTACAACAACACCGGAGCTTTTCCTCCAACACCACAGGACCCTCAAGCTCAGGCACATAATCAGGCTGTTACCACCATGCTACAGGACCGCAGCCGATTGCAGCAGGAACAAGAGAACTTCAATAAGGCCCATCCAGAGTCCATTTTTGACCAGCAGGCTAGAGAGGAGCGTGTTCGTCAGTTTCATGCATTGAGAATTGCCGATGAGGACATTCCTGTTCGCCGTTCTGAGGAGCCAGCCAATCATCGAGAGCCCAGCCAAGAACAACAGAGGCCACTACAGGAACGATCCCCAGCTTCCAAAGATCAGACTCCTTTCCAGCAAAATAACGAACAGGAGCTCACCCTTACCCAGCAAGTGCAAAATGCTGCATCGGCACAGAGACTTCAACAGCAGCAACAGCAACAGTTAGCTTCATCTGAAGTTGAATCTCCATGGACAAAGGTTGATACTGGACTCCCACAGCCATTCCCACCTCCACCTTCACAGTCTCCGCTCCCAGCTCCAGCTGCCCAGCGCAACCGTCAGCACGTAGCAGATAACCTTGCGGCTGAAACACGTTCGCAGACCCAGACACCAAATGAAGTGCATGCCACCTCCATCGCACCGTGGGCTAAGGAGCACACTGAACCATCCAAGGGTCCATCTCTTCGTGAGATCCAGGAGGCTGAAGCCCGCAAGGTTGCAAGGCTCGAAGAACTTGCCGTCTCTGCCCGTCGTGCGCTGGCTGAACAGGAACGCGCCAACCCACCACCAGCCCCTGCTCCAGGTCTTCCATCAACTGCCAACTGGGCTCGTAGTGGAAATGCCAATTCCTCTGCAGATACATCCGCCTGGTCTAAGCCAGCTGGCGGTAAGAATGCAGGAGTACCCGCCAATACTGCACCAAAGAAGACCCTAGCCCAGATCCAGAAGGAAGAAGAGGCCCGTAAGCAGCGTGCTGCAGCCGCTGCCGCCGCTGCGTCCGCTGCGAACTCTCTCGGAACCCCAGCTGGAAAACGTTATGCAGAGCTTGCAAGCAAGATGACTGCCCAGCAACCTACCGCAGCTGCCCCTAGCGGCGCCTGGACTACAGTAGGAGCTAGCGGAAAGGCTAAAGCAGCTCCCGTTTCTACTGCTGTTAACGCCCGTAACGTTCCCGGTCTTACTCCCAGCCCGACCCCTGCAACCAAGCCTAAGACTATCATGACCCGAAATGTCAGCATGGGCAATTCTGCTGCAACTACAGCCAACCGTCCTACCGAAGAGCTGGCTAAATGGGCCAAGAATGCTCTCGAGAAGGGCTTGAACAGCTCTATCAATGGTAAGCCTGATATTTAATGCATAATCTTGTATTTCCATATGTGAGTCTAACATGTATCTAGTCGACGACTTTGTACAACAGCTTCTTTTCTTGCCTGCAGAGTCGGAAATCATCTCGGATTCCGTGTATGCCAATTCGCAGACTCTTGACGGACGCCGATTTGCCGAAGAGTTCATCAGACGCCGCAAGCTGGCTGACAAGGGTATCATCGATACCGCTTCTTCCGGAGCCTTCGGATCGCCTGCCGAATCAAAGAATTCATCAGACGGCTGGAACGAAGTCGCCAAGAAGGGAAATGCAGCTGCAAGCCGCGAGGATCAGGCGACCAGCAATGCATCCTTTAAGGTCGTATCCAAGAAGAAGGGCAAGCGATGAATGAATTAACTCTCTTGGACTAATCTGATAGATTATCCGACTCTGTGCGCTTTCTTTAAGGTTATCATCTACTATTTTTTTTTGACTTGTTTTGTTCTTGAGTGGCTGTTTGTTCTTTTTGATACTTGGCATGATACGGTAACTACGGCATGATGGTTTCGACAAGCATGAACGGTTCACTTGCTTGTTACTCTACCTTGCGAGGAAGAGGGTTGGATAGACGGCGTTTCCATTCATTGCATAGCATCTTCCATCAGCTTCTCCCTCCCTGTACTTCATCCGTCTTGATACATTGGCCGGCCTCATTAGCCAGCCATGCATGCATGCCCTTTTTGTACTCTAGCTGTCTTGTTAATGGTACTACTAATCGATCCGACTGAACGCGCCCTTGCCATGACAAGCCCACTATCCATCTGTTCAGCTTTCCAGCTCTACGAGCCTATGCATGGCCCTAACAATCGCTTAATGCAAGCCGACCTCGTACTCTATGCCTCTTTGGGGCGACGGATGTTATGTAAGAGCCCCATCTCCACCGCAGCCGCCGCCGAGGTCTAAAAGTGCGTGCGGAGACAGCTGGGGAGCTTGCAACTGTCTGTTTGATATTGCTGGCTACAGGGCTGGCTTGTCTATATAAGGGGTCAACAGGCCTCGTTAATTGCAGTTGACAGGGCAATCCAACTATATAACTACTTCCTCAGATCTATATAGCTGATTATTTCTATATATATTACTGAAAGCAGTGTTACCAACATGGGCTCATATCAACCCAAAGCACTCGGCAATTCCCTACTGCAGGACTTCCCCATTGATCGGACCTTCAGGAACCTGAACCATGGTAAATAAAGTGATACCTCTCTCTTTGTATGCTCAATTGGGCGATTCTGACATAAACCTCCCAGGTTCGTTCGGGACATATCCCATTGCCGTATTAAACAAGTTCCGCGAACTGCAGGACAAGTTTGAAGCGAGTCCAGACCGATTCCTCCGTTTCGAGCTGGCATTCTACTTGCTTGAGTCTCGCAAGGCCCTGGGCTCGCTGCTGAACACACCCGTCGACTCTACCGTGTTCGTCAAGAATGCCACCACGGGCGTGAATACGGTGCTGAGGAACCTTGTCTACCAACCAGGTGATGTCATAGTCTACTTCTCTACCGTGTACGGTGCAGTGGAGAAGCTGATTGCCTCACTGGCGGAAACGACTCCTGTTCGGGCCCGTAAGGTCAAATATGAGTTTCCAATTAGCCATGACAAACTGGTGCAGCGGTTCATGGATACCGTAACCAAGGCACGCAGTGAAGGATTGAACGTCAAGATCGCTGTTTTTGATACCATAGTTAGCAGTCCTGGAATAAGGCTGCCATTCGAGAAGCTCACGGAGGTGTGTAGGAAAGAAGGCATCCTGAGCTGTATCGACGGTGCTCATGGTGTGGGTCAAATACCCCTTGACCTGGGCAAGTTGGATCCGGACTTTTTCGTCAGCAATTGTCACAAGTAAGTATACCTACGGTTTCAAGCCCTAGCTAGATTTCACGCAGCAGTGTGCTAACTTCGTATGCAGATGGCTTTTCGTCCCCCGTGGATGCGCAGTGTTCTACGTCCCGCAACGCAACCAGCATCTCATCCGCACAACTATACCAACCTCCCACGGATTCGTGCCAGTGCCAGGAATCATGAAGACAGGCTCAGAGTTGGGCGAGGAAGATGAACCCTTCGCTAAACCTATAGACGCCTTCTTTACCCAGTCGGATTTCGAACTACAATTTGAATTCATCGGCACAAACGACGACTTGCCCTACCTTTGTGTCCCTGACGCTATCAAGTACCGCCAGGAAGTATGCGGCGGCGAAGAGAAGATCATGCAGTATTGCCAGACCCTTGCCTTTGAGGCAGGGAACCGTGTGGCCGGGATCTGGGGCACAGACGTGCTTAGTGAATTCTGCTCCTCAGGAGGCGACCTGGACGTCACAAAGGAGAAAAGAAGTGAATTCCGTAAATGCGCGTTTGCTAACGTGCGGTTGCCGATTACGCTTGTAGATGATCAGAATGTGCCGCAGGGGAAGCTAGTGAAGGCTGAATGGCCTGTTGTTCGAATGGCGGATGCGGTGCCTACGTGCAGGGCGATGGAACAGAGGCTGGTACTGAAGCATAGTACGATGTCTCCTTGCTATGTGCATGCTGGGTCGATTTGGACGAGGCTTAGTGCCCAGGTATACCTTGAGGTAAGTGATTTTGAGTGGCTGGCTAGTGCGTTCAAGAAAATCTTTGAAGAGCTAGCTATTCAGGGTGGTATGGCCAGTCTGGACATCAATCCGAAGCTATAGGGTGGTTGGTTATTTTATATTTCAGGTCTAGGGGTTCAGGCGGTGGTAAAGATTTCGACAAAGAATGACGGCTATATATGTGGTAGATATTGAATATTTGGTTACAATGTTTATACAGATCATTAGGAGTAAAAGCTGAATTTATCATTAGACTTGCTTTCTTCGAGGTGTTGGCTCGTTAAAAACACGATTTTGGAGTATAAGGAAACACCTATTAGCAATGAGGAGATACAAGTAAAAGGGGAACAACACCAGTTCCATCCCATGATGGTGAGAATGCCAGAGCTATAAGAATATCCGAACAAGAACCAGTAAAAAGTTAAAGAAAATCATCAAAAGCCTCGTAACCCCCATCCCTCAAATCCGAATTTTGTGATGCCGTTGAAAAATGAAAAGGAAAAAAAGGTGCGAAGGGAAATTCATGAAGTCATCCTTGGGGTATAATAGTATATGGAAGAAGTAAGGGAGGAAGGAAAGAAAAAGAGATGTGAGTTGGAATGTTGAATTGCCCCGGGGTTATCAGGAAGTGCCTCCTCCAAAATGGTATCTCATCCACCCGGCTAAACCACCGCCAGAGTTGTTATCTGAGTTAGATCTTTGAGGTGGCGCACCAGGTGGATCTAACAAAGATCGGCTAGGCCGGTCAACTCTTTGAGACATATCTGACGTGCTAGATGATTGACCCTGTGCAGAGCCTGAGGGGATAACAATGGGGTTGCTGGAACTTCCAATAGATCCGTTTGTAGAACCTTGTGTATTCTGACCCTGCTGCTGCTGCTGTTGTTGTTGCTGTTGTTGTTGCTGGGATCCTCCGTGAGTCTGTTGGTAGGTTGCCATGATTCCCTGTCGGCAGTGCGGGCATGTGTCATGTTCGTTTAACCAAGCGGTGATACAGGACTCATGAAACCAGTGTTTGCAGGGTAACATAGAGACTTCTGTGTCCAATTCGACGTTATCCATACAGATGGAGCATTCGGCCTTGTTCTCGCTGCCTAGCATGGATTTGTCGACTTTGACCTTTGGGAGAGATCGGATGGCGTCTGCGGATGCTGGTGGAGGAGCATTTCCATTTATGTTCTGGTCTACCAGTTGAGAGATCACGCGGTCGAGCTCTTCTTGAGAATAGACGGCGTCACCGTGGTGTTGCATCCCTAAAGCTTGGGAGAGAGCGGCAATGGGGTGTAAGATGGGCATCCCTCCTCCTCGGTAGTTTGGATTGGCAGCGCCATGCATAATGGCCAGAATACTGGAGAGAAATAATAGTTAGGCTGGGTCGCTCTTGAGAGGTATGGTACAAGAGAGTCTGGATGGACTTACTCGTTAATGTTTAGTACTGGTTCCGCATTGCGCTGTGCACGATCTGCGTCTCGCGGATATAAACCTCCGCCTAAGATCTCTGGGGGGTTGGAGTCCCGATAATTATTTGCTTGGTCATTACTTGGACTCTGGGTGCCATAGCCCGGTGGTATTCCTCCTCTGTTGGGCTGTGTTTCGGCTATCCCCCGCAATATTGTATTGAAGGTGCGAAACAAGGGTCCGAGGGCGTCCTCTCCAGCTGCGGGGCCGGTGGCCATTCCCATTCTGATGCCTCCGCCAATACCTCTGCCATCGGGAGATCTGATAGTAGTGCTCGTAAACTGGAAGCTACCGTCTGGGGATTGGTAGTGATGGCGGGTAACGCGCCTGGGTGAGTTGAAAGAGTTGAATGTATCAAAGATAGGGTGGCTATCTACCTGCATAGCACCATCGGCTTCGGCGGATGCATTACGAGGGGACTGCTGTTGTTGACCTCCAGGAGTATTGTTGCCTGTATTATCGGCATCCTGGTTGTTTCCATGTATGGTTTCATGAATAGTCTGATTTTCATCAAGCTGGATGTTATTGTTAGCGTGAGCTGATCAATACAGAGAAGCCTTTTTTTTTTTTATCGACATGGCTGAAAGGGAAAAAAAAGAGTAGATATGCTTACTATTTCAACAAACTCTGATTGACAGCGCGGACAGGTCAGTCCATGGGATTCCCGGGGCCACACATGCTCACACTCATGGCAGAAGATTCGATCTCCCGGCACACGATCAGCCATGGTTGCTGAGAGCGATGAACTGGTGGGCACCGAGGCGGTAAAAAAGGCGGGAGCCAGCCCCCTTTTTCAAGCTTGAAATAAATTCAGTATAGACTGAACGCTCCAACCGTTAGAAGGAAATGGAGGACCGGAAGATGGATGTGAGTGACCGTCAGCGGGGCAGCATGCGGTATTATAGAGTGAAGCGGCCCACGAACGCTGGGTGGTTCTAGAATTTCGTATTTATAGCGAAAATGAATGCGGGTTTGCTCGCGGGGGAGGATGCAACAGGGTGTCTATCGGGGCCAGCGAGCAGGGAGATCGAGCTGTCAACAGCGTGGACGGAAAAGCAGGGAGCCTCTGCTCGGGTGGCTGAGCGTATCCGGAGGGCTGTCGGTGGCCAGAGGAACAAGTTTGGTGATGCGCAAAAGGACAAACGGCCGGCGATGACGACGGGGGCTTGGGCTGGCCCAGTGATCGATCAGTCGATGCAGGCCGAGGGTCTTCGGAGGTTCGCGAAGCTTCGTCTCGCTTCTGCTGCGTCTTCTGCTCTCCGCTGCTTTCACTTCTTTCACCCTCTTTCTCTGCTTTCTCTGCTTCTCTGCTTTCGTTTCTCCGTCTCTTCGCTTTGCTCTGCCTTTTCCTTTGCGTTTGCTTGTTTGTTCTTTTTTCTTCCGGCGCAGAAAGAAAAGAAGATGACGTCGTTGCTTAGTCAGCAGACTTTCACTGCAAGAAGATGAAGATATCAAAATTCTGATTGATATCAAATATAATAGAAAAAAAAGGCCTGAAAGAAGGCCGGAAGTCAAGTCAAAAAAAAGGTGAATGAAGTCTTCATTAAGCGCTGTGTACCATGAGGAGAGACTGGGTCTTCAAAAAGCCAACAGAACGCCCTTCCGAATGCCTGCCAACAAAAACAAAAGCACAGCCGAGGATAAAAGTAGCTGTAGTCGAGATAGTACAAAAAAAAGAAAGAAGGCCATGAAAGCACCAAAGAAATGTAAAAAAGAGACCGTCATAAAGTATCTATGTTCATCGCTTTCTGGCTCCTCTCATGATGAGGCCGCCGATCAAGCCCGCAGCGACGGCGACACCGCCGATGATGGCGGCACCCATGAGGCCCTCTTTGGCGACCTTGTCATCGATCAGGGTGCGCAGGCTGGCCGACTGCATGTTGTTCGGCTCGTGCTCGAGCAGGAGGTCGTTGTACCGGCGAGCCTCTCCGTAGTTGCCCAGCTTGAAGTTGCCGAGGGCGAGGTAGTAGAGGCACTCTCGTCGACGCTCGGGGGCGGTGCGGAAGATCTCAGACAGCAGCCGGGTGCCCTCCTGCTGCTCCGGCCGGGAATTCGATTTTATCAGGCCCTGTACAGACGTTAGCTGGGACCTACAACGGGCAGCGAGAGAGAGAGAGAACACACCCAGGCGTAGTTGAACTTGGTCTGGACGCCGACGTATTCGCCCTCTTTCTCGTACTGGGCGCGCAGGACCTGCAGCTCTGCGGGCTTGAGAGGACTGTCCATGGCGGGTTATCTGTCAGTCTGCTGGTCTGCTCACACAACTGGCAGCGTGTAGAGGCTTGTCTTACTGACCTTTCAGCGTCCGCGGCGTCTTTATATAGGGCAAACCTGGGTTAGCAAGCTGCTGGAATGCGGGAGCCTGGAGGTCTGCATAGCCACGTACAAGGTAGCGAAGCCATCATCGGGCCTGTTTCTGCGTGGAAAAAAGCGTCTCTGCGCAAGAGGCAAACACCGCAAGTCAGAGGTCTCTCGCTCTAGATGCCGTCGTCGAAGAAGCCGGAGCCGGTGCTGGTGCTGGCGTTGAGTGTTGTCCGTGGCGTCTTTCCGGCTTGCGGGGAGGAAGAAAAAAATAGCTGAAGTTGCTGCAACAACCGAAAACGTCAACATCGACGTCAACATCAGCATCAACATCACAACGCCGGCGGGACGCAGACAACAAGACGCGATTGACAGCAGTATAACAGTGAAAAGACGTCTAAAACGCCGCTCACGATGCTGCTGGAGGAGGATCCCGCTACTGTAAGGCTCCTGGATGGATTCTACGGCCGATGTGCGCGTGGCTGACGGTTTCTCTACAGCTCATCCACCATACAATAACCAACTTCAACATCCAGCCGGACAAGCTTGCGCTGGCTCGGATCAACGACTCGCTCTCGTCTCTGCAGCAGTCGCGGGAGCTGCGCTTCCAGGAGGTCGAGAACTCGCTGCGGAAGCTCTCGCGGCAGCTCAGCACGCTCAACGCCCAGCACAAGGAGACCGTCGAGTCGCATGATCCCGCCCGCCATGCTGCGTCCATCGTCGAGCTGGACACCGAGAAGTTCCGCATAGCAAAGGCTGCGTCTGAGCTGGAGATCGAGAGCGAGCGGCTGGAGGCCCAGCTGGAGTCGCTGAAGGCCCGGCTGGCGGAGCTGGACGCGCAGGGCCTCGAGGGGGACGAGCATGCCAGGCGAGAACGCGAGGCCGACGATGCTACCATGTAAGAGGCTTGCTTCTTCTGTCTTTGGCTTTGAATGACTTCCGGGAATGCATACTGACCGTTTGGGTGGTAGACTACGGCTCAAGATATACCGGTCCCTGGGCATCGATGTCGACACGGACGAGGCAGGGAACTACAACAAGGCTATCATCCGCAACAGCCGAAAGGGAGACGTCCACGTCGTCAACATCGACCCCAAGTTCTCACGGTTCTTCTATGCGAACTACTTCTGGCAGGCCATGTAGTTCAGGGACCTCGCACGACCGGATGTGATATCAGCCCACAGCAATCACGAAACACATATGACCCGGACGGAGTTGGCCTCGTTTTGATACCCACGGAGGAATTTTTTTTTTGGCGCTGTTTTGTATTTATCTATTTTTTGTATTGTCTTTTGTAGTATTTATTATTTACTCTATTAACTATTGCCTGCTCGCGTGAGTTCAAGCCACATACGATCGATCTATATAGACCAGAGACAACCGCCAGCTGCGTGTCTTCTCGAGAACACGCCTCGACAGGCCACAGATTCCTATTTCACCTGTGTATTCACGCCTCTGCCGGAGCAATTATCTTTGCCTAGCATCGCTGCCTGTCCCACCGTCGTCGACATCACAAGCCGGAGATCATCCAAAAAGAAAGCCACAAAATCTGCAGCGAAACAACCCCAACCCGCGCACAACCAACGAGCAGCACCCAGCAAACGTCCGGCGGCGGCGATGAGGAGACGCAGCCTGCTGAAACACCTATAGAGCAGTTCAATGACCGCCTGACGAGCGAGACCAAGCTATGCCTGTCCATCGACCGCGGCAGGCCCAGCGCATCAACCAGCTGTTCATCCTCGTGTCCATCACCACCGTCTTCACCCTCTACTTCCTCTTCTTCAGAGAGCCACCGAGCAGAACCCATGGCCTCTCGAGCTCGCAACAGCAGCAGCCGCAGAAACCGGGCTCCAGCAAGCTAGCCACAGCGTCGAGGGAGCTGGTCGTCGCCAGCGTCAAGGCCGACGACACTGCGTGGATACGGGAGCAACTGGCGGGCTGGAAGGCGAATATCTACGTCGCCGACGGTGATGCTGCGAGCAATTCTGGCCTCTCTGTGCCTGTGAACAAGGGGAGGGAGGCCATGGTGTATTTGACGTGAGCCTCAAGCCGTTTTTATTTATAATTAATTACCGTCGTAGTCAAAAACTCGAGACATCGGGCTGATGTTTGCTTGTTTACTGTCTCAGGTATATCATAGATCGATACGACTCGCTGCCAGACTTTATGATATTCATGCATGGACGGCGGTACCAATGGCACAACGACGACCCAATGTACGGTATGTACAGACCATGGACCGGCTGGGCGGACAGGTGGTGCAGATGGCGCTAAACGACTACTTCTTCTACGCCCGCAGACGGTGCGTCGGTTATCAGCAAGCTACAGCTTCAGGCAGTGGTCAAGACGGGATATGCGCCACTGAGATGTACCTGGGTACCAGGCTGTCCCGTGGAACTGCATCCGCTAAAGCCCGTTGACGAAGGGCCCATAGTTCGCCAGCAGACCGAGCTCGCCTTTGCAGCCGCCTTCAAGACGTTATTCCCCGGTACCGAAGTGCCTGCAGAGGTGGGTGCGACATGCTCGTCCCAGTTTGCTGCTACACGGGAACAGGTCATGCTGCGGCCCAAGGCGGACTATGAGCGCATTCGGAAATGGCTTGTCGAGACCAACCTGCCTGACGATATCAGCGGGAGAATCATGGAGTACATGTGGCACAGTATGTATATTTTCTCTATCTGTTTCGTGCTTTGTTCAACAGGTCTCGTATACTAACTGGCTTATGTTTGACAGTAATCATGCAGAAGAAACCGGTATACTGCCCGCCGGCCGGGGAATGCTACTGCTTCACGTTTGGCCTGTGTAATCTAGAGTGCACGGCGGCCAGGTGTGAGAAGCAGTATGTCCTGCCTACTTATGCAGCTGTCCCGGATGGCTGGCCGGAGAAGGGCGGAGGCGAGAACGGATGGCCCAAGCCAGGCTGGAATCAATGACATCTGAACTTGAGGCGTAGAGTCTGCTGTTCGTTGAGCTAGTTATCTGTAGCCATGACCTCATGGATCGCAGCTATAGAACGGCTGTCAGCTGTAGTTTGAAGTGGATAAGGCTGTGGTTGGATTCAAGAAGTCCCGTCAGAGACATCATGGCCCATTGGTGGATGTATATAGCCGAATCAACAATGTATCAACCCGTGTTCAAGACCTCTGGCCCTATCTCCTCTCCGTTCCAAGTTAAGACAACAGTCTTCTTCATGGGGTCCGTCTCTCCCCCGTGTCTGATCTGCACCCCTAAACCCTCCAGCCCAACTTCAGCAGCCCTCCTGTTCCACAGGAACTGCCGCATCGATCCGTCCAGCTCTGCCAGAGCCCAGATCAACGGATATCGACTCTTGACCAGCGCGTCTCGAACCCCCTTCGTAGCCTCCCGCGTACTAACCAACATCCCCAGTATCCCCTCCCCCCTCCAGCCCACAGGTGCTCCAGAAAACGTCCCTTCAAGCTCGCGTATCAGGTTCGGCCCGACCTTTGTCTTGACGGCCTTGCACTGCACCAGTATTCGTAGCGGCTGAGCAGCTGTCGACGTCGACGTCGACCTCAACGGCGGCAGAGACCATGTCCCAACAAGATCAATGCCGCAGTCTGCACGGCCCCCGATGCGAGTGAGGTCGATGCGGTGTCTCTTCAGGCTCTGCTGCACCGTATACTCGTACAGCGTCCCCACGTAGGTTGTGCTCTGTCGCGAGAGCGAGGTTCTCTCCGCGTAGTCCAGGAACGAGCGCAGGTCATTGTGCTGCGAGGTCGCAGAAGCTGGCGGCACAGGCAGTGAAGGCTTCTCAGTCGAAAACGGCCTTGGGTATAGTGCCTTTAAGCTGTAGATGTGTGTTCCGTAGCATCGTGGAGCTGTTCTTGTGCAGAGCATGGCGTGTTTGCGGTTGCTGAAGCTTTGTTTGGTTGAAGCTTTTTTTTGCCTTCAACTTAGTTATCTTTTGCGCTCTCGCTCTCACTCTTTCTTCGCTTTCCTTCACGCAGCGCCGCTCAACACGAATAGCCACTCGACAACTGCTGCTACCACTGCGCTGCCTCTTTCTCGAGCTTGAATATACAGAAACCACTGCGCTGGTCGGTTTATAACCGTTAAACGGTTGGTTGCGCGACGACAGACCTCTTGCGACTGCACCCGGCGAGCTCGAGCGCCATGGCAGACATCCTCACGCAGCTTCAAACATGTCTTGATCAGGTACGAAAGGGACTATCATGGCTAGCTATATGCGAAGAGACAAGATACTAATGCTGCTATGTAGTTGGCGACCCAGTTCTACGCTACGCTCTGCTATCTCACTACCTACCATGACCACTCGCCCGCCATACCTCCCCCAAACGTCCCAACCGCAATCCCGCAGCTGAAGAAAATTCCAAAGAACGCGCCGCCAAACACTCCAGCCGCTCAGCCGGCCTCGGGTCAAGCGCAAGTACAAGACCAAAAAGACCAGACTCCCCAGCAGCAACAGCAACAGCAGCAGCAGCAAGGAGGAGAGGGCTCTGGAGGAGCACAAGATCAGAACAAGGATCTCCCACCACGGCCTGATTCGCCGAATACATTTGCCCAGCGACAGAGAGAGCTGGCTAGAGATTTGATTATAAAAGAGCAGCAGATCGAATATCTCATTAGCGTGCTTCCTGGCATAGGGAGCAGTGAGGCAGAGCAAGAAGCCAGGATACGGCAGCTTGCAGATGAGTTACGGGAGGCGGAAAGGGTACGCAGACGGAAACGGAAGCAGATGAAGAAACTCGCAGAAAGGGTTGACGATCTGCTGGAAGCTGTTAGTCGGGGGATATAATAAATACCCTTCGCTGTTGGGAGATTCTTTGAAGCGGGTATGCTTTGATTCGATATGTATTTTTTTAATATTACGATACCCCTGTGATTTATACAGCTAATTGTCTGTATACGTATGAAAACCAAATGGCCCTTTTCAGGAAATATTGTCAGCGAAACGGAGTATTTGAAGAATTGCCAAAGGGGAACCCGATGGCTGCTGTGTGGTAATCTTAAGACCGCTATTCGGCATTTCATTATGATGTCTGGTAATCAACGGAGAACTTGCAGAGAGGGAACTCGGTTCATTGTAAAAAAAGGCGCAAGATTTGATAGTTAAACAGAAAATGAAGTGTTGGTAACATATAACAAGTAAAGGGGGGTATCGAAAGGGTTAAAGGGGGATTGGGGGGAAAGGGGGTAATACTATGAAGACATTAAAGCAGATTTCATCACTGCCGGGGGAAATTTCCTCCAAATAAAAACCATTGAATTCTCAAGCTAACTCCAGTCTCCGATGCTGTTTTTCATTTAGTCGTAAATCCTGCCATTAAGCCCGAAAGGGGACCAAAATTGGCATCTAGATTGGTCGTAAAAGGGGTCGTGTAAAAAAGACATGAGAAAAAAAAGAGGAAATGTGAGAAAGCTGGTGAAGTAGCATTGGATGGAGCACTGGTGTGATAAAGCAGGCATTCACTTGAAGAGGCTTCTGTATTCCTCAAGCCTCTCCTTTTGAAGCTCGCGCCTATCCATCTTTCTATTCAAGCTCATATCAGCAAGTTTCTGCTTCCGCTTGGCCAGCTCAGTGATCTTCTCTTCAATGCTATCGTTCATTATGAATTGTATGGTGGTGACTTCTCTCGTCTGACCAATTCGATGCACACGGTCGACCGCTTGGGCAATAGCCGCGGGATTGTACTGTGGTTCCATGATGTAAACCATCGAGCCAGCAGTTAGGTTGAGTCCGACTCCGCCAGCTCCAATGGTTACCAGAAGGATCGTAACATTATCGTCTGTCGAAAAGGTTTCGATGGATGCATTTCGTTGCTTCAGGGACATGGTGCCGTCTAGGCGGGTATAACCCGTCAACCCATTCTCCTCGAGAGCAATCTCTATCAAATCAAGATGCGATGTCCAAGCAGAAAATATAACACTTTTGATCGGCGGTTGGCAGGAGGATTTCTTGTTATCCTCAGCCGTGTCTAAAAGGTGCGAAATCAAAGCTTTTGTCTTTGTGTGAGGCCCTTCGTAAAGCCCGAATTCTTTAGTCTGTTTGCGGTTCTTTTTGTTGTCGAGTAGCGAGGCTTGATATTCTTCGAACCCTGCCGTGGTGATGACAGAGTAAGCCGGAGCTATCACGGAGTTGCAAAAACTGCAAGAAACTTGTACGGGTTTGCCAGCTAGTTCATCCAGTCTAGGTGCAATGGGGACAAAGCAATCGGCACACAAAATATCGTAGCAGGGCAGAATGGCTGCTACCATGGCATTTTTATCACAGGGACCGGGACTGTCGTCGGACTGCAAGGTAATGTAGTTTGAACAACGAGCACAGGTATCAGCTGATGATTCCTTCATCAACGACAACATCTCGTACGCCTTTCGACTAGCAGCTGTGGTAGAATGGTCGTCATCCAGCTCCTCAATATCGATGGCGTCGTTTGCAGTAAGTCCTCGGAAACGTTCCCGATCTTCCTTGTCCAATAGTTCCTTGCCGTGGGCGCAGATTTGCCGGAGCACCATCATGGCCTTCAAGACAATATGGTACATTTTACCAGTCGCCTTGCCGCGAGTTTCTGAAGCAACAACATTCATCATGACATTGGATTCCTTCTTGAAGAAATCATGGAGTCTCTTCTCTTGCTCAGTGAAAGTAAGCATCACGGTCTTGTCATGTCGAGCAGGCAAATTGATACGGTCCTTTACTCTACGAAGAGTAAATGAATCAACCAGCACACGCAGGTTGGTGATAGCGTTGGGATTCTCGGTTTTGAAAGGTGAAACTATATGTGATGCAAATCGGCCTCGTTCATCATAAGGTGATAGCCTCAGGAACTTCAGCACCGCTCCCAGGTCTTCAAGTCTGTTCTGGATTGGAGTTCCGGTGACAGACCATCGCCGTTGCGCGTTGAGCTGAAATATAGCTTGACTTTGAGCCGCATTCTGCTCTCGAATAATATGCGCTTCATCAAGAACAATGCGGAACATGTTCATTCGCACAAGCGGGCTCGTACCTCTCTTAGAGCTTTTACCGGACACATCACTTAAAATAGTAGTGTATGTAGTGATGACAATGTCATACCGTGCTAACTCCTTCGGGTCCTCTGTTCGATTCGGTCCATGGAAAACATAGTATGAAAGAGCACCGTCCTTGATATGCTCTTTAATCTGGCTTACCCAATTGCCGACAGCACTGAGAGGAGATACCAAGAGGGTAGTTTTTGCGTTTATCAAGGATGGGTCTGCAGGCTTTTCACATGCCCAAGCCGTAGCATCCGACAGAGACGAGCATACGAGGGATAAAATGCTTAAAGTCTTGCCCAGTCCCATCATATCTGCCAGTAGACCACCTAGGACCTGTGGAGGTTCTGCTGCAAGGGTTACGCCACTGATGATCTCACGATAAACTCGTCGTCCATTTCCCTTTTGTTCAATTCTCCAGAGTGAGTTGTTTTCCGCTTCGTTTGTGCTTATTTTGCGTGGTTTCTCTTTTTCCATCATAAATCCGAGGGCCTGTTTTTGATGTGGAAGTAATTGAGTCTCTAGTAAGTCAGGGGTTTCCATTTCAGGGAGATTCTGGGCACTCTGGAGCTGGTCAAACATTTTCGTAACGGCACTGCTAATTTCTTCTGCTGTGCGAACTTCGGATTGAACAGCATATCTGGGCGTTTGCTGAGGTTGTTGTTGCTGTGATGCAGCTGCCATTAATCGACGCCTTTCAGCATGAGGATTGTAAGTCGCAATGCCAGCTTCAACTGAATTAGGTATCCCGAGCCAAATATTCTTCTGGCTTAAAACACGGCCGATGGTATCAGCAATCCGTCTCGGGCCATATAGATTGATCGAGATGCGGAATATTTCAGAGCAGGCCTGGCCAGGCTGCTCATCTGGCTGTCTCCGGCGTGCATCAAGACGGGCTTGGGTTCTTAGATCGAATGTCATATCAAGTAGAGGCGCCAAAGCCACAGAAACATGTTTATCTAAAACTCCAAAAGAATTTCCAGCCACATCGCGGACATCAATAGTTATATTGTGACTTCTCGTCCGTACCAATTGACAGCGTATAGACGGCCAACTTGATGCGGTCGCACCAAACGCAGATTTGGGAAGGGCTGGAATCATATGCACGTGTACTGTTGCGCCCTCGATCTTCCCATAGCACACTTCTTCGGCGCCTTTCTCCTTATTCGCAACAAAAATGACATCATCATCGTTCCTATCGTCTTTTTCTAAGATTATTGTCAATTCAGTTATCTTCGTCTCGCCGTAAGTGAATACTCCAGACTTACCTGCAGTAAGGTCAATTGGGTTGTTTGCAGTGACAGTAGCTCCACTATCATCCGGCTTTTCTTTCATGTAGCTTCCAAGAGCCGAGCTGCTAGTACCCGAGAATCTTGCATCTGGCCCACCGTTAGTGCCTGTGGAAGACCCTTTATCGACTTTGACTCGTTTCTGTGGCTGGTTCTCCCGTCTTTGAATCCCGTATATGTCCTCAATCATATTGCTGTGCGCTGCTGCTGGTGCCTTGTTTGACTCCAGCGGCAAATTTCCCGTCACTGACGTACTGGAGTTCGTGTTTGTAGGAGTCTTGGTTCCATTGCGGCTACGGGTTGAACTATTCGAGTCTTGAGAGTGGTTCGAATTCGGGAAAGGCCTTGTCGGGAATTTGAATTGTCGAGGCTGGAGGAGAAGCTTTGGGTCAAAGGATGTTCCAGGGGGAGCTTCAGATGCAGAAAGTCCCGGAGAATCAGGAGGTTTGTTATTATTCCCTGTGGTAGGTCGACCTTTGAGATATGTGTAAGTATCTGAAGTTCCGAACAAATGAAAATCATCTATTGCTTGTCGCTTCCGAGAAATCGAAAGTGGTGCAACAGGCTGCGAAATGGGTGGCTCGCTCAAGTGTCGAGTTCTGACTGCTTGACCACCATCCATTTCACAGCCAGTTTTGGGTTTATGAACGAGAGGTGAAATATTACCAGTTGTATTCTGTCTCTTATATGCCTTTGGGTCTAGCAGGAGGGCTGCAGATGGGTAGCTCATCGTCGCGCGTCGAATCTCAAACCTCGGCGTGAGTTCGAGGGTGGTTGGAAGAGGATGTAGGAAAGAGCGAATTCTCGGCGAATGAAAATCTACTGAGGGCTCTTGTTGGTGAAGTGACTGCCAAAAGGACTTGGTTGCAGCCTAGGTTGTTCCATCGAGTGAGAGGTAATATTGCGTAGAGAGAGAGATAGGCTGATTGCGTCCTGGAAGGAAGGTTGCGGCGAGTTGGAGGGATAAAAGATAAGTGAAACAGCAAGCAAAGAGGTCGCTCAAGACGCGTCTTTCCGTTTACTCTGCCCCCACGGTGGGTTGAGTCGAGGCATGAAGGCGAGGCTGAAAGCGATGTCGAGTTAATATGGCTTGAAGGAAGTGAAAGTGACGCACCAAGATCGAGTTCCATGCAAGATAAGATAAAAGATTGGGGCGCCTAGCGCGGATAAACCAAGCGCCTCCGGGTCATGTGATAAATTATGTAATAAAAGAAGGCCAAGATAAAAATAGAAACAAACATCCTTAAATGCCATAAAATTATTGTACAGCAGAAAAGAAAAACGCATTCAAGCGCGTCAAAGGAGATGGCCATCCGACGAAACCAAAAGAGTCGCTTCTATGGTTAACACCATGAAAATGAAATAGTACACACTTCGAAGGGAACATTATGGGTCACATATTAGAGGCGTATAATTATGCCACAAGTCAACAGTCAACAGCGCTAAACTCCGCATGCACGTATCATGAAAAGAACAATTTTGATCTTTTTATAAGAGGTAGAAGGGGTGAACGGTGAAAAGAAAACATAGCATGTAAATAGACAGGAGAAGGAAAACCATTATATTGATAGAATATGAGGGAAAGGGGTAACTGGTCGAGAAATGTATACATTCCTGGAAAAAGGGCGTTAGAGAGGATAAAGAGGCCAGAAAAATAATGAATGGAAGAAAGAAACCGTTAGATAGAAGACGAGGGGATCACCACCAGGTGAAGACGGGGTTTTTGCTCTTGACTGTTTCAAGTCTTTCGACGATCACCTTGCGTTCGTGGCCGTCCATTTCCTCAGCGGCGGCATATCCAAGGTCACCCTCGAGGTCGTCAGCACCAAAGTCAAACGCACTGTCTCGGCGTTGGGAGAGAGAGTTGCGTTTCTTATGTGTGGGCGATTTACCGCCGAGGTGCGATCTGCGCCTGGAATGATGGGCGTGTTGTCTAGGGGCGGTGGCGGCCCAGCTTGTGGCCAGCTTCCGGCCGCCTTCTTCGAAATTCTCAATGTTTCGAAGGCGAGAAGCGTCGAGCGACCTAGGACTCACTATGCCGTCCGCAGCATTGGAGTCCATCGATGCCCGGTCACGGGACAGCTCGAAGCGGTTAGGGTTAGGTAGTTCATTTGTGGGTGACCCGAAGCTCAATAGATCCCGATGGCCGTGCGTGCTAGGCTCTGGGGTAATGGCGGCTCCAATATCCATTTCCTCATGGAGTTGGCTCCTCCCGTTCGCCCGATGCATATTAGCATCGGTTGATGGGGCACGGAGTGGAATCGCCACAGGGATGTTCACTAGGTCATCCCAAACACATACTCGGGTTCTTCGGGTAAGTTCGAGAGGTCCGTGATCACGCTGCTTCAGGGTCTCAACAACATTCCATGCTTGGCCTTTCATGACCGCGATTTGTCGGGCAAACATGCTTTCCTTGAAATCCGAGTCTTGGCTAAACACAGCTCTCAGGGCGGTTTGAGTCTCCGTCCACCAAGCAGTAGATGTGAGAAGAGGTAAGAAATGTTCACGAGTTTTTTGAGAGAACGGTTGGCCAATAAGAGAAACTGGGAGGAAGAGCCAACCAAATGGAAAACTGCGCCACTATTTACATTGTTAGTAACTGGATGTATTAGAAAAAAAGCGGAAGTAAAGTTCACTTACAGCATCAGGATGTTTCCAGGGCCAGGATAAACTGTTATCGATGGCCCCGATTGAAATTGTGGCCTGAGCCAGCTCTGCTGCATTCAATGGTGTTCCAGCGCGACTAGATACTGTCATAGCATCCTGGCGTCGATAGGGGGCTGTGCGCGAGGGTTTACCTTGCGAGTTTACAGAAACAGGGCGGGCAGGCGGAGTCGGTTCGTCGTCACCCAGATGGTCAGTTTCATTTAGACGAATAGGGTCCGAGACAATTGAAACTTCTTCGGTGTTCCAGTTGATTTTAATCATCCAGTTATCAAGACCACGGTCTGTATTTCTCATAATGTAGTCCAAAATAACGAGTTTCTCAAGCTCTTCTCGGAAGCCCTGCTTCAGGTTTTCAGTCCAATGGAATTTGTGATGGCCCGAATTGTCCTGGGGTGTATTTGCTCCCAGCATCCGACGGTTTTCATCGCCATCCTCGTCGTCAGACTGGGCACCAGATGGTGTACAGGTATCGTTCCATCCTCTTTTTTTCCTGCGAGGGGCATCTTCGGCACGGAAACCGGTGGTTGGTTGATCAGGCCAAGGATGCTCTCTAAGGAATACATTTGCATCTTTGAAGCCTTTCAAGAAGACCTGAAAGCTTCCTACTTTAGGAGGCAAAGGTCTTCTACCATACCAAGCTTTCCGTCGGTCCCAAAAGTCATAATGGAATGATTTTGAAGAAAGGTAGACGATATCAGTGTAAGGAACGAGATGTGTTCGCAATTGAGTGTCAATGACATATGCAGCAGCCTCCGAAACATAGGAAAGGTTGGGAATAAGACAGGCACGGCCGAAACAGCATGGAAACAGATTTCGATGTATCCATTTAGTCCATTTCGGGTTTCGCGAGGCATAGGGTTCCTCATCTTTTGGCTTAAACACTCCAACGACTTTCCCCTCAGCATTTCTCGCAAAGTAACTGCCGGAGCTACCTTGCGAGATCATCTTTGGGTGGACACCGAGCTCGATGGCCGTCCTAACACTGTCCACGACCTGCTCGAACTCAGCCTTTGTCATTCGGCCACTGTTATTTTGGTCAGCGGATTCTAGTGATGCTGCTGTGACTGGCCGGATGCCATCCAAGGGCTGGAAGACGGAGTGGTGTATTTCAAGTTCTTCTTCTTCGGAGGTCTTGCCGTGTACTCGGTTTATCTTGAACTTTGAGGCAATTTCTTCAGCCCATTTCTCCAACCGCATATTGATTGCCTTGATATCGACTCCAGAGGAGTTGCTGCGAGCCCGGTTTCGCCCATGATGGCGCTTGTAATATACGTCTGAGCTGTCATGTCTGAGGCCATGTGTCTGGATTGGGGCGAATCGTCCAGAGTTCGACGATATCGATGGAAACGGGCGTTGGTTTTCGTCATCAGACTCATCAAGATACTCATGGGCATCTGCCTGGGAGAGACGAGCGTAGCCCGAAGTCGCCGGACGGTGTTTTGGCGCCATGGCTGTGGTGGTCAAAAGGAGTTGTTATCAGTTAGGCAGAGAGCGCGCTTGTCCAGCATTTGAAACTGGAGACCCTGATGCAGCAAACCAGCGGTCTAAAACATTGCTTATTCTGTCGGAACGGTCTATCTTCGAGCACAGCCCACAGACTATGCCACTACCTTCGATTCAACGCAAGGAATAGAAGAGAGAGCGAGATGAAAATCCGTTTGCCTGGCCTTTCCCCCTTTTAAACGCCTTTAGTTTTTTTGATCTGAACAACAAAGTAAATTAAAAAAGAAAAAAGTTACGTCAGATTAATAATCTTCTTAGTCATCATATAAACCACATGACTACACTAAATACATATATGACTAATCAACTTATCGGTCCTGATAACAACTTTTTTTTTATCGCGACTTTCGCTTTATCTTTTCGGTCTTCCTTGTCCAGCTTGCTCTGCATCGTCGTCCAGCCATCTTCAACCACCATCAAAACAGCCCATTCATATCCCATTTCCTATCTCTCTCTTTCACCCTCAACCCGAATTACCCTTATCCTTCTTTTTCTTCCCTTTCTCTGCCGCGATTGAGGCCTCCAGTGCCTCAATATACATCGTTCACCACGGCGTCCGCAGTAGCTCCCCTGTCCCTCGGGACATCCGCCATTGACCCGGCTCTACGGTCCTCATCCTCGCAAGTTCGAGATGTTCCGGCCTTCACGTCGCCTCAGGAAGGCGATGGATCGTCATCCATGAAGTTTGAGGCCTCGGAGTCCTCGACAGCCTACCATAATTCCAGCTCAACAGCTCCTCCTCCAAATTCCTTTCCTGCCACGACAACAGCAACAGCCGAATATCCAGAGACATCGACGGCCGAATACGCTCCTTCGGCTACGGGACTGTCTGCTTTGGCCTCCGCTGCCTCTGATCAGACCTCTTATATACGGTATGTCGATAGGAGAAACTCGCCGATAAGGACCGGCATCTCATCATCAAGCTGGCAGCACCATGCAACTACATTCCAATTACCTGACGAGATAAGCCTAATATTGAAACATACTGACTGTTGTAACTGTCGTAGGGCGTATGATAACGCGGAAACCTCGAACAGCAACCATAATGCCAGCCAGAGTGTAAACTATGCGACCTCTGCGCCAACCGCAACCAATGGAGGACAAGGAAGCACCACGGTAAGCACACCATGCAACAGCCTCAGATAACCAAGCACATCCAATCCATGAGTCCATATCCACAAACCATCTTCCCGTCCCCTACTCTGGCTTTTATATACCTGCATCTTCCCCCTGCGGCTTGCAGTAAACTGCTCTCCTATTTAGGAATAGCCGGGTCAGAAAAATGGCTTGGCAGTTATTAAACCGCCTTTTTTCGTTTCTTATCGCCAACTTCCATTCCAACTTTCTTCTACCTTATCATACTCGAGATAGCTTCCGAAGCGCGCTACAGAACCTTCTTTGCATTCTTGTTTTGGTGTCTCTGCAGCGTAAACGTTTCGCCATAAGCCCTTTGCACCCATATATATCATGGCAACGGCCCTAGCTAACCAAGGTCATGTTCAATTGCAGTCTGTTTGCCAGAATTGCGGTACTTCCAAGACTCCATTATGGCGCCGAGACGAGATGGGCTCGGTACTTTGTAACGCCTGCGGCCTATTTCTAAAGCTCCACGGCCGGCCGCGGCCCATGAACCTGAAGACAGATGTGATAAAGAGTCGCAATCGGGTGAAAACTTCGGGCCAAGGCCCAAAACGAAAGGTACTTAAATACTTTTTCTTTTCTCGCGGTAATCGGACTAAGTGTCTAACCCACCTCCCAATTTCAGGCCAATACCGATGCAAACAACCAAGCTACTCCAAGATCAGACGGCACTACGCCATATGGCTACGCTCGTGCTTCCAGGAAGCTCTCTCCTGGCCGTTCCGATGGTTCAAATTCTCCAGTCTCCCGAACGGACACGCCTAATTTCCATGGCTCAACTAGTATCCCTTCTCACAACATGTTTGACAACGTTGGCCTCTCAGACCCGAACTTCAACCCATCGGGGAACTTTGCGTCATTACAGCTGCAACACCCGTCTCCAGGCTCAACGTCTTCTAACGAACGCCATCTTGAGGGTCCCCAGACGTATGAAAACTTAGTTGCTGCAAACACATCCTTAAAGACCAGAGTCAATGAGCTGGAATTGATAAACGATCTTTTTCAAGACTCAGAATCTCGTCTACGGCAGTCACTCAAAGAGGCACAGAAGCGAGAAGAGGAACTAAAACGCAGGATAAGCGAACTTGAAGGTCGCTTATCCGGGCAGGAACAGGCTCAATCTAAAGATGAGCCGGTAGAACCTCAAACTAAACGGTGTCGACTTTCCGACTCTCCAGAGAAGGTCGAAGTCGACAACAAGTCTTCAGCGGACGTCTAGGACGTCAGTTCTCTCTTGTCTTTGATTCTTAGTTGGCACGCAATGCGGAACTGTCGCCTGCCGGCTCCTCTTTTTCATATCTCCCACCCCCCCTTTTTTTTTTCTATCTTCTCGCACTTTTCCCCTCAATTTGAAAGTTGATGTCCGTTCGATGTCAATATCCCTCTCGCTATTCTTATATCACAACACCCTTGATTCATTCTTCTATAAAATTCCCGGAATTCTGTACTCTATATGCCCCTCGTCATTTTTACTACGGACGAGTTTTATGCTGCGGCATTCAACTCTTTTTATATCACTAATCACCCTTCCACACAAGTTGTGGATGGACTCTTTGTACGCGATACTTGTTATTGTCTGTTGGCCCTTTTCTTTACGTTACAGCAGATTATCTCACGCCTTAACTGCTCTTCATATATCTCGATCGCTGCTTTTTGGTTAACCGCTCTACTACCCTTCGCTTCTCACCTGTCTTTACTACAAAATACTTCCGTGCTTTTGCTCCCTGCTTTTAACCCTTCGCTCCTCTACAGCCGGAGTTATATTTCGAAATTTTCTAAGCCTCTCTAACTTTCTGGAGAGGTATTAATCATTCTTATTCTTCGTCCCCCCGCTTCCTTTTTCCCCGTTTATTGGTGAGGTTTCTTCCGTTCGTTTCGTGTAATGGGTGGTTGATGGACGATGTTATTCTTACTTTTAGTTGTTGTAATATAGACAAGAAACCGAGCCTAAAAAGCGCAGAAAAAGGAGGCAATTCAATTAACCGTGGAATAGGGATAGATTTGATAGCAAATTTTAATACCTTGGATTATCGCTTTTTGCACGTCCTTTAAAGCTAGGGAATATGCCAGTGAAGAGGAAATAGCAGTCTAATTTTATCCCAAACCGAAAATAGAAAATTATACTAAAAACTGGTCTCCCCGGAATAACATATGGAATGGGCCTATAATTGCACAGCATGCAGACAAATATGTATAGCGAAATAGTGAAAGATCAAATTATTAGAAAATCAAAAGAGAGGCATGGGAAACGTGTAGATTAGATCGTCGGGAACAAGAAGCCACCTGCCTGAGCTAGTGATGCAACCTGGACGTGAATAATGTCGCTAATTCCGAGACTCTGAGAAGGGTTAAGATGTAGCTCGCTGTCAATTCATGCAGCTTGTTGGGGTATCTCATCTTCCTCAGTAAGTAATCTCTGATGCCGCCTATATCTTTCAAGGAAAACTCCTAATAATGTTAGAAATCCGGAGCAAATAGATGCGTAGAATGCCACCAGATACGCCGTCGAATAGCACTCCAGTCCCATATTGCACTGGCGTGTGCCATCAGGCAAGACTTTCGAGTGGCTGTCATATATGACACCATAGATGTAATTGAATATATGGCCAAAAATCGCAGCGGCGAGAGTCATAACGCCCCAGTTCTGGGAAAACCCAGATATTCCAAATGCATGGGAGACAATGGCAGGATAAACTCCGAATAGTACACCATATGCTAGGCCTGTCAAGGATGAGATGAAGAGAAGATGATGAGGGTTGGAGATTTTGGCACCACCGAACTGAGAGATGCAGAACAGTATGCTGGCCACGAAAACACACCAAAATCGAGACATGTGCAAGCGTTTGACGATAAAGTCAGATCCGATTCCTGGTCAAGGGCATGTCAAGCGTCATGTTCAGTCGAGCACAGTATTAAGGGGTTTACCTACCGCTGAGAAGACGCCCTGTAAAGCTTATTACGGAGAATACAGAGACATGTAGAGCTTGTCGTTCCCGGAGGAAGTGCGAATCAACATCAGGGTCGACATGTCTCCATAAAGCCATGACCTATATTTGGTTGTAAATAACTGTAGCCACGCATGATGAGGGGGTATATCTTACATCATTACCAATATTGCTAGTTATGAAGTTAGTTATATTGAAAGAAGACGACATCAGCATTGCTTGGTACTTACTTGATGGTCATCAAACCAACTCCCGTGGAAATACCGAGCAATAAAAACAGCTGCCAAAACTCCGGGGTAGGAAGGAGACTCAGTCCTCGTATATCGGGGCCAGCAGCGTGGGCACCGTGTTTTGCCTGATCGTACTGGGAAAAACTGCCACTATCGCTCAGGGACCTGGGCCTACTCATCAAAGAAGAGGTTTCATCTGCCTCAGCATCCGGTGGCGTAGGTCTTGGTTGGATCGCACTAGGCAGTACGGCAGTAACCTGTGCAGAAGAAAAGGACGCGATGGCACGGTTTGAGTCGGTATCAGAATCCTCTTGGATATTTTCAGTCGGTTTAGTTCTTAGTAATAAATTTGAGTCGGGATATTCACCATTCAAAATAGCAGAGTATGATGGCGGCGGGGGCAGTAGCTGTAAGAAGTACGTGCAGACTACTATTATCAATGACGGCCCTAGAGCAAGCAGTAAAAGAAATTCGGAGGTATCATCCTTGAATGCCATGGCTGATATCGCGGAGAAGCCAAACGCACTGAGACCAAAAGCAGCGAGTGGGAACGCAGTTGCGGACCCTCGATGGTCGGGGAAGTTGTTCGCGGCTATTGTGCATATATGAGTATCTGATATATTGCTTGTTAAGGAGCATTTAGATAATCCCATACCGGTCTTAATTGCGGCAGCAAACGCAGCACAACTTCCAACTCCCGAGAGGAAGGAGAAAAAGCATAGAAATATCACACTTAGTGAGCCTGCACCGGCAGCATATGCTATATAGTAGATGTTAGGATATTCCCAGGGTATCACCACATGCAGTATTAGAGGCTAATAGAAAGTGTCTAACCCAGATGAATTGGAAAGTAGCCGCAGAACAGGGCAATGGCGCCGAAAAGAGCAACCAGTCTAGTTCCTTTGGTGTCCACGATATATCCTATGGGGATACCCACTGCATATACACCTACATTTCCAGCAGCACCCTATGAATACTAGTCAGTGATCAAGGCCCCAGGCATAATAAGATTAAACAAGTACTTACAATCATATTGCCATCAGTCGACGTGAGTTTTAGCCGATCTGCAAACTGTGGTGCCCATGCAGAATAGACATACTATGTATTGCCCGAGCAGTTAGCCGCCAAGGTTCCAAGAGGTAAACAAGCTCCTGCGGCTCTCTCTGCGAAACATCAGATTAGATATTTGATCAACTTACATTAGTTCCGCTCGCCAGCGCGACCAGGGTTCCTGCAACCACAGTCATAAACCGAAAGGCGGTTGGCGTTATGTAGGGGATTGGAGGCGCCATGATAGGCGCCAGAGCTCCGATGAAACGTGCGGCCTCGGCGCTGGCGTAACCATAGAGTGAGCTGCCAGAGTTAGCACGAAGTAAAAGGGGGCCTCAAGGATTTTTAAATTGACGGCAAAGACCAGCAGACGGAAGGGAAGGAAAAAGGGGTATATCCGCCCGGGTTTTATAGTGTTTCTAGTCGAACAATCCGGGCGCATCATCTGGGTCCCTCTTGTGATGCACTAAATATAGCGCCGGGTGTACGTACTCTATTATCAGACCGCGGAAGACTAGCTCGGCGGCATGAAGCGGCCAAACGGAGTGGATATAACAGCTACGAGGCACTCGGGCTCTGTCAAATATAGGAGCAAAGCAGCGAATTGATAGCAAAAAAGACAGCTAAGCGCAAGCCAACTTTCGTCGTAAGGCTGAAAATTGCCGAAAGAGTCGCTTTTTAGCCGGCCGCGCTTATGTAAATATTATGTAATCTTACCTTACATAATATCATGATGATATAAGCGTGACGTAATGTGCCAAGCACCATTTCATCACGTGCACTACTCCCGGCGAGGGCAACTTTCATCGTCATCTCTTCTCTTGCGGGCTGTTTGCAGTTCAAACACCGTCGACAGACACGCTGAAAAACGCATAACGAGCCCCCAGTTTTGCCTGTTACTTTGCTTTAGACGGCATCCATTGAAGCCGGCAACATGGGCGCGCTTCTCTCGCTGCCTTTGATGGCACTTCCGAGCGTTGGAACAGTACGTAGCGGCCTAACTGCCCTCCTTTCGATTCAACCAAACTTGAGCTGCTGCTGACTGGGAGTATATAGCTTCTGACGTTCGGCGCTTCGTGCTGCGGTGCAGCTACATGCTCTGCGATATGTAGTGCATGTGGGAAGTTCCAGAGCAGGTATGAGACATATTACTTTGTGAACTCAGCTTCTACGCCGTCGGGGTAAGTAACTGATCGTTTGTTTTTAGCATGGCCACTCGAATCGCATACGCCTTCATACTCCTAATCAACTCCATTCTATCCTGGGTTATGCTCACTCGGTGGGCGCTTAACAAGCTTGAACACCTTACATTCGACTTCTTGCCTATAACGTGTGACGGCCAGAAGTGTCATGGCTGGGTTGCGGTCCACCGAATCAACTTCGCCTTGGGTCTGTTCCACATCATCCTCGCTGTACTTCTTATAGGCGTCCGGTCTACGAAAGACGAACGAGCAAAACTACAAAACGGATTCTGGGGACCAAAAGTCATTATCTGGCTTGCATTTATTGTCTTGTCCTTCTTCATCCCCGAGAGCTTCTTCATCGTATGGGGAAACTACATTGCTTTTGTCGGAGCAATGCTGTTCCTACTCCTCGGCCTTGTCCTCTTGGTCGACCTGGCTCATAACTGGGCCGAACTTTGCTTGCAGAAGATCGATGAAACTGATTCAAGACTATGGAAGGGCTTGTTGATCGGCTCTACCCTTGGAATGTATCTCGCCTCTATTGCCATGACCGTGCTCATGTATGTCTTCTTTGCCGGTCAAAACTGTGCTATGAACAAAGCTGCCATCACCGTAAGTTCCGGATATTTCAACCTTAGTTTTACGCAAGCATATACTGACATGTTTAGATAAATCTCTTGGTCTTCCTTATTGTTTCCTTCATATCCATACAACCAGCGGTGCAAGAGTCTAACCCTCGTGCTGGATTGGCCCAGGCTGCTATGGTCACTATATATTGCACTTACCTTACCATGTCTGCCGTGTCCATGGAGCCAGATGATAATCAATGCAACCCTCTGCTACGCGCTAATGGCACCAGAACTGCTTCTGTTGTCCTTGGTGCAATAGTCACCATGTTAACGATTGCTTACACCACAACTCGTGCTGCTACTCAAGGATTCGCCATGGGATCTAGTGCTGCCCAAAACAACTACGCATCCCTCAGCCAGGATGAACCTGAGCACGGTCTAGTCGTTCAGCAACCCGGCCTCACTCGTCGTGAGATGCGCGCGGAAGCTCTTCGTGCCGCTGTTAACAGTGGCAGTTTACCTGCCAGCGCTTTGGACGATGACGATGACGAATCTGATGACGGTAACTCGAAAGACGATGAGCGAAACTCGACCCAGTACACATACTCCCTATTCCACTTCATTTTCCTCCTGGCAACAATGTGGGTTGCTACTCTATTAACACAAAATCTCGACATCGAAGCCCAGGACGACCTGGCCCCTGTCGGCCGCACATACTGGGCCAGCTGGGTGAAGATTATCAGCGCCTGGGTGTGCTATGCTATATATCTATGGACCCTGGTTGCGCCGGTTCTTCTACCCGACCGGTTCAACGTATGACCTGATGTTCCTGCTATATCTTTTTACCGGCGTTAATCCTGGCTTTGTATTGGTACATACCCTACCATATGTCATACCGTTGTTTCCAAGCATAATGCTCCATCTATGTACTTCTGTATTGCTGTATCGATAGGGAATTAACAGAATATATCCTCATTTGATTATTATATTTTACTATGAAATCGCATAATAACCATTAGATATAGCTGATGACGTCAGATGGAAGAAACGTTAATATTTTCTTCTTAGTCTTAGACGCGAGACGCGCAGCATCAATAACAACCGCTAGCTAGGCGACAATGGAATATCTTCAACACCACACTGCTGCCACCATGACATGAATATGGCAACAATCAAGCCTATCGAGGCTCGTTCGGTGAGATCCTATAGGGGACGACACTGACTCCTGTTTACAAGTCTCTAATACCACTCTGTAGGTCCACCAAATCCAGTCGGGCCAGGTCATCGTTGACCTCTGTTCGGTGGTTAAAGAGCTGGTTGAGAATAGTCTCGATGCCGGCGCGACTTCTATAGGCATGTACAATTAATGAACCAGCGGAGAGAACATGGCTAACTGATGTTTCTGTCCTACGTAGATGTGCGTTTCAAAAACAACGGCCTAGACCTGATAGAAGTTCAGGATAACGGCCATGGAATCTCCCCGAACAACTATGAGTCACTGGGTAAATACCACGATCTTCCTCCAGAGTAACAATCCGATTGCTAAATTATATAGCGTTGAAACACTACACGTCCAAACTGTCGACCTTCGCGGACCTGACCTCGCTTCAAACATTTGGTTTCCGTGGCGAGGCTCTCTCTTCACTATGTGCAGTCTCAAACCTCACCGTCGTTACTGCGGAAGCGCAGCAGGCTCCTAGAGCTTCGAAGCTGGATTTCGAATTCTCTGGGAAACTCAAGAGCACGCAGGTAGTTGCTGGTCAAAAAGGAACGACGGTCTCGATTGAGAATCTATTCAAGCCACTACCGGTTCGGCGGCGAGAATTAGAGAAAAATGTCAAAAGAGAGTACGGAAAGGTGATAGCGCTGCTACATGCGTATGCATGTATAAGTACTGGTGTCCGATTCAACGTCAAAAATCAGATGCCAAAGGGGAAGAGCGTGGTTGTTTTCACCACGAAATCAAATCCTACAACACGGGAGAATATTTCCAATGTTTATGGCACAAAGACGTTGCTTGCGTTAATGCCGCTCGATTTGAACCTGGAGTATGAGCCGAGCACGGTGGCAAAGAGGTTTTCCAGCCAAGCTTCCAACAAAATATTTGTGCATGGTCACATATCCAAGCCGGTATTTGGAGAAGGAAGACAAACGCCCGATCGGCAGATGTTCTTCGTGAACTCTCGACCGTGTGGACTACCTCAAATTGCAAAGGCTTTTAATGAAGTTTACAAGTCGTTCAATTTGTCGCAGTCACCATTTATCTTTGCCAACTTTGAAATGGACACAAGTGCGTACGACGTTAATGTTTCGCCAGATAAGCGGACAATCTTGCTGCATGATGCCGGTGCTTTGATCGAATCTTTGAAGGCATCCCTTACAGAACTATTCGAGAATGAAGATCAGACCGTTCCTGTTTCTCAGCTTACATTTAGCAAGCAAAGCCAATTAACACCAAATCGGGGACAGACTCCACCAGCCTCGGTCGGTGCAACACAAGACAAACCGGAGGAACCACCAGGTAATGCAGTGTATAGCCAAGAGTTAGGACAAGATGATACCGTGGAAGAGAACAACCCAGAACCTACCCAAACATCGCAATCGTCAATAAGGGGTGTTCTTCAAAGGTTAGAAGGTGGTGACCAGGAGAGCACACCACCCAATACTGACATTACAGTCGAGAATGACCCGGTCATCCCTGAATCCAGTGGGGCTTATGATACCCCGTCTAATATCAACGATGAGACAGCGGAGGGTAACCCAACCCAACTTCAGCCAGCACAGGGACAAGCTATCTCAAGTAGCCCCTCGTTAGGCACACCAACTTACAAGCCTGGGGTAGTCCAAAATGCTTTTGATCGAATGCGAATGAACCGGATACCTGTAGATGTGGCGACAATTACCATAGGGAACAAGACCTACCAGTCGACTATTGGTAGAGATCCGGTGAAACGAAGGCTGGATAGTTATCCAGGTTTGCACTTGCACTCACCTTCATCAAGGACACGAGCTATTACTGTCAGGAGTAAAATAGGCCGAAGTATTCAGTCATTCACCGCCCCTGGAACACAATTAGAGCAGGGACAAATCCATGATGATCCCATCGAGGATGATGAGGGCGAGGAGGACAATGAGACACAATTCATTGGTCGTCTAAACGGAGGTAATGACCCTGAAGAAGAACCAGAGGAAGACCCTGGAGAAGACAATAGAGGAGAGGATGAAGTCAATGGAGAGGAAAATATTGATGAAGCGCATGAAGAGCATCAGGTAGAATCCCTACAGCAAGACCAGCCAATTCACCCCGAAGACACTGATTCTCCGGGCTCTGGTTCTGGTGAAAGCTACGTTGATGATGATGAACGAAAGACCAGGGAAGATGCAAAAGTCAATGAGCTAATCAAGGCTGCAGAGGAAGCATCTGCCGTTCCTTCAGAGCATAGTGTGGAGCGGGCAGAGATACTGATCCGGAAACCTCGCAAGAAAGATTCTACACATGAGCTAGCATGCACTATCGATGCATCTATTGAGAAGATTGAATCTCAGATGAAAGCTCTTCAGAGGAGAATACAATCATTGAGTAACAGGGGGTTACATAGAGGTGAAGATGCAGACGATGACGGCGACCAGCAGATTGCCCCTGAGACAAAGCTGTCCCTTGCAGTCTCCAAGAAAGATTTCTCCAGAATGCGAATAATTGGGCAGTTTAACCTTGGCTTCATCCTTGCGACAAGGCCGGGAGTTACGGGGGATGAGAACTCTTTTTCAACCCCGTCAGCGGAGCAAGAGCAGGATGAGTTATTCATCATTGATCAGCACGCCTCAGATGAGAAGTATAACTTTGAGCGTCTCCAAGCTGAGACGACAGTGCAAAACCAAAGGCTGGTGAAACCAAAGACACTTGATCTAACCGCTGTGGAAGAAGAGGTTATCATCGACAATCTTGCTGCTTTAGAAAAGAATGGATTTATTGTCGAGATAGATACCAGCGGTGACGAGCCCATCGGTAGACGGTGCAAGCTGATTAGCCTACCGCTAAGCAAAGAAGTTGTCTTCGACACCCGCGATCTGGAAGAGTTGATTGTCCTGCTTTCTGAAGCGCCGCAGCAATCACAAAACAATCTAGGCAAACGAGCAAGGGATGAACTCGATAGTGATGCGGAGCATATTGAACCACCGGGCGTAGCTTCATCGCCCTTCTCGGACTACCTTGTTCCTAGACCGAGCAAGGTGAGAAAGATGTTCGCTATGAGAGCTTGCCGGTCCAGTATTATGATTGGAAAAAACCTTACCCATCGGCAAATGGAGACTGTCGTCAAACACATGGGAACTATAGACAAGCCATGGAACTGTCCTCATGGAAGACCTACTATGAGACATCTAGTGAGCCTAGGACAGTGGAATGAATGGAGTGAGTGGGATAGCCACAAAGAACGCTGGTCTAGGGCTGAGGCGCAACCAAGGAGTATCAGACAGATATGGGAAGAATTTGTCGAAGATTACAGCTCATAGGATGCTATCTAGATGCCTATATTTGGGTGCTGCCATTTAGACTGCAGACATCGTCTGCTTGTTGATATATTTTGGATATAAATCAAGAAAACTATATAAACCAAAGTCTCAAATTTCCCCAACTCTGCAGTCCTGTTTACGTGCTGGTTGGCCAAATCGAGCAATTCCAGCCTCTTCTCCAACATATCAAGGGGTAAATATAAACCAGCCCGTGGTAACCGAACAACGGGAATCCATTTTCATAAGAAACTGAGGACAGTTGAAAAGGTAACTATTAAACGCCAAAACACCATGTTAGGCCCTTTTAACTGAGCCTAAAACCACTTCTTCAGCCAACTCTGCGCCGGCTTCTCAACTCTTCCCATCCTCTGATCCTCCTCTTCCGCTAACCTCAGCGTCTCCTCAAGAACTAGCAAATCCCTTTCCATGACTTCCGCGAAGTTCTGCAAATCGCCAACCTCCTTTAAGCCATTTTGGCCTTGATCCAGCAGCTTTTCCAGCTCTTTGCTCTGTTTGGATACATCCCGGGTGGTCCGCTTTAGATCTTCCTGTTGTTTGTCTATGACAGCTGCGTTGTCATGCAGAGTTCCGGCTCGAGTGCGCAGGTCGGCATCAAGATTGGCACCAACAGATTTGAGAGAAGCCGTAAAGGCAGCACGGGCTTCCGCCGTTTCGCTAGAGCGTGATTCATCAGAGGACATCTTGTGTATGATGTGATGTGGCTTGCTTGGTATCTGTGTTTGGTAGGTGTTTGAGCGGAATAGCAACCACCGACTGAATGGACCGAAATATATTAGATAAGGGAGTCGGGATTCTCAGTTGCTATTGAGCGGCTTCTTGCAGGTGGTATTCGACTCTTTTGACTGATCATCAAGAAGCCGAGTTGGTCTTGTAGATGTTTTCGATCTGATGACCAGAATACCCGATTAAATACCCCGCATCTGCGGCCCGTTAAATTAATTCGTTGGCCAGTCAAAATGTTGGATATGATATCACTTACCAGATATCAAACATCATCGCAAGACTTTTTGCTGGCCAGCGACCACGTCGCTTATGACCAGAATATATAAAGTGAACTAGGCGTCAACCCTGATAATATTATGGTGGAAAATAGCGAAGTCAAGCAGAGAGAACCATGGAACAATCGGGCCTAACATACTAACTGCCAAATTTGATATATTTGATACATTCAATTTATCAACCTGAACTACAAAACAAAATATCAAGTTGTTGAGAACAAGCAAATGAAAATCAGGTTTAGACGGTTGTCGATGCGGTAGAGTGCGCCTCGACATGTTGGATAGCCGGTTGTTTCGCCATTACTTCTCGTTCGGTCTCAAAGTCACTACCAGAAACACCCACAACCTTATCACCAAATGATGTTGCGATTTCCTCGAGAGATTTGTGTTTGGTTTCTCTATTTGATGGTCAGGATGGCGTGCTTGCATTATCAGAGAGGCTTGCTAAGGGGGTGAATGACTCACGGAAAGTAGAAATATCCAACAATGAGAAAAAACAGAGTGCAGGCAACAAAAACGTAGTAATAATTTTCTTTAATATTTGCAAAAGCACTTGGGCCAGCCTCAGTAACTATATTAAAGCGTCAGAAGCGAGTCATGGATGTAAGCGGGATATAGGAGTTGCATACTGCCAACATTAACTATAAAGTGAGAGGCAGAAGCAAGACCCATCACTTTGCTTCTAAGGGACACAGGTAGGACCTCCGCTCCATATAGCCAGGTGGTGCTGTTAAGCATGCCATCTAACCGAGAACCTTTAGTATCAAGTATGTCTAAGATGTAAATTTGATTTGGGCTCTTACAATAATTGACAACGAAGAGGTAGATTCCCAGGATGGAAAACCCCTTTCCAACTTGGTTGTTTGTGTTTTGAAATGTCCGTTGCATGACTGCAGCGTATATTTCTACCAAGATAACCCCAGATAAGCCTGAGAGAATCATCCTAGAAACGCAGTTCAGTACCCACTTTCGACGTCAATTGCTACGGATGACTTACTTCCGGCGGCCCCATTGATCGGTAAGGTATAAAGTGGTGATAAAATTTGAGAGAAAAGCAACGGTGCCATACACAGCAGCTAAAGCAAGAATTGTCTGCGGGCCGATGCCCAGAGATCTATATAGGATTGCTATCTAGACTTAGTCACGCAGTTGAGGGGGAAACGATAGTAACTCACTCTGATAGTACTGGATGACATTGACACCAGTGAGACTAGTCATAGTCTGAACGGCAATGGAGACAAGAGCTCGATTTTTGAACAGGTTGAAGACCTCACGGATGGAAGTAACTTCTCTCCTCATCTCGTACTCGATCTGTGCCTTCATCAATGTAAATTCCTCGATAGACTCATTTAAGTCGTAATCACGGCGAATCTTCAGGAAAGCAGCACGCGCCTCATCCACCATGCCAATTCTCAGGAGTTGACGAGGGGAGTTTGGCATGAAGGTAGCAAGGCCGATGAACAAGATTATTCCCCAGGGGATCTGGATGCTGAGAGGGAGACGCCATTGCACTGGACCATAAGGGGCATAGGAACACGCAAAGCCCACCCAGTTAGACATCATAGTTCCCAATGCAATACCACAACCAGATATACCGCCAATAAGCCCCCTTTGATGCGGTGCAGAAACTTCACTGAGGTATATGGGAACAGTGCCAACTAGCCCGCTTTATCAGTTATATATCCTGTTAGTTTTTGGTTCGTAATGGAGGTGAAAGTGGGCGTATAACTTTCGGATGCAGGACTTACCCTACAGCATAGCCTGCCAAAGCACGCCCGGCAAGGAACATTCCAATATTCACAGAAGCTGTTTGTATGGATGTCCCAACGGTGACCACCACACACATGAACTGCATGAACCGAATGTGCCCAAGTTTGTCGCCAATGAAGGTCTGAGTAAGGGCACCAACAGCCTCCCCTGCTATATACACAGCAACAACCTTTTTGTTCTTGTCAGTGGCACGATACTGATCGGGATAGACTGTATCTGCAGACTTACGGCGCCTGTGAGTCCATTGGATGGGTGTTTCATATAACTGATCCAGCTTTTGTGTGCAATTGCTAGATCAAATCAGCCCCCTCCAATCATACATCATAAGCACAACGGCCGTGTCTTACTCGTCGTAGCAATACCAGTGTCAAACCCCTGGAATATTAATTAGCTATGGATCTCATTTTTATAGAATAGTTATATAAACATACGAAGAGAAATGTCCCGATTGCTGCGAAAAGGGCAATCCCAAAGGTATACCGGAAGCCCATTGCGAAAAATGTCCATTAAGCAGCCAACGATCGCTGAATGGGATCTCCGTGCGAATACATGGGACAGGTGGCAGTTACTTATACGCATTTCCGCCCGTAGGAAGAAAATTCGAGAGAGCATGGATGAGTGGCCAGGTGAGCTCACCAATGTCATGATACATGCATAACTGGCCTGAATATACGCCGTGTTCTTGTACTCTGACCCCGATCCACTTTGCCATGTAACTAGTTAGTGGACAACCATCGAGCTGCATCATCCTGTAGTGACGCTGTGAGATGGCAGTTTAATAGTTAGTTAATATAACCACGACTCGGTGATTGGATTGGAATGTATTATACGATAGAGCTTCCGCATTTTCCCGTCGCTCGAGACGGCAGCAGAGAAGAATAAGGATATCCACCCTGGGGTCTCGAACCATTCTTCGTGCTCGCTAGTTAACTAAGTTAGTTATAGATGTCGGTTGCTTGTGGGCTCGTTGGTTATTGTATACGAGTGGTTGGTCAGGCCATCTTTGTCCGCCCAAGCCTGGGTCCGCAGAATCCGCGACGGGCTAAACCCCGATAGAGCAATCTAAGAACGAGCCTTTGGAGAGATTGAAGGACTTATACTGTTGTGTGTCCCAGGTTGTGGCCGAGCTAGTAACAAGTAACAGGTCGTTGTTGATCAGACGCCCGGTTTAGCTGTGTTGTTCTATGGGCTTGTACTACCCCTTTCACTCGGATAGTCTGCCTCCAAACAGGGCCTCTTCAAAATGACTATCAAACTGAGCAGGTGGAATACTGCCGAAATCATCGCCTCTATACCACATCCTAGCCCATATCTGGCAGCTTCATTTAAGTAGGGACTCCAGATGGGGATGGTAAAGGAGAAAGTTTACTGCATGACGTTGATCAATTGCAGAACCGACGGCGCTTGAGATACATAGCAGCAGACGCAGGATGTCTTGAGAGACGTGGTAGTTAATGAGCTGCGGCCCGAAGTTAGAAATGGAAAACCCAATCAAGGAGTAATCCAATGGCTGTGGCTTTTGTAAAGTCACACCAAGGATGACCACGCCCACGACTACGATGATGTAGCCAAGTAGACCGGCAAGACGGGCTTCTAGTTTCTCTGCGTCTACTGTCGTCAGCAGCCGTGGTCTGGCGACGCTCCCGGTTCATGGCTCAGTCGCTGCCCGGGCCAGCCAACCGCTCGTCCAGCAGCACGCCAACTAACGGCCCCAGGAAGAAGAGCCCATGAGCAATCCTCCAATGCCAAAATAGATAGCGGAAATACCGGGAGATGTGATCGCAAAAGTGACGCCGTATTCTACGATGGGACCAGATATGGAGGTTGCATGAAAAGCACAAGCTCCATGAGAGATCATGTGCTTGGCCAGGAAGAATCCTTGGGAGGCGCATAAGTTCGAAGACCCGTGTGCTGTCCTCTGGGTAGGTAATTATGAGGTGTAGCAGTTGACGATGACAACTAGCCGCCGAGTCCACTGCCGTCCGAGTTGGTAAACAAGAGAGCCACCAGTGACACTTCCTAGGGTTGCTCCGATAAGGTAGGTTGCTGTCTGAGGAGAAAGCTTGAAACTGTGCTGCCATCTCATGATGTTTAGGAATAGGGAGAGTGCTTGTGAATCCGTGACCGGCATCACAGAAGCCGCATTGCAGTAGTTACTCCGTAGGATGAGATATATCCGAAGCCATGGCCCGGTTCTGTGGATTTCAGGTGTCAGTCCTTCGTCGACCAATAAATATTGTCCGTTGTTGGATGTCTTAACTTGTTGGCCCCATTTTTCGAGATAGCTGGCCCTTTCTATGAAACCTTTAACCGCCCCGATCTTCAACATCTAACACTTTGCATGAGGTTATGCATAAACTTCCTTCCTTAGCTTGGATTTTTATCTCCCAGAACAAAGGTAGTCTGCTAGTTACCTGACAACCATCCTTTGTGCCTAAAAAAGAAATTAGTCCGGGCGCTAAACCTTGCCAAATTCTAGTATTCTTACTATTCTGTTAGTCCGCATATCTGCTTGATGTTGGATACCCACAGGCAAGTGTTGTCTGTCCAGAATACTTTGAACTTGGCAGGATTGAATGGCTCTGGCATGCCCAAAACGGTGTTTCACCTGCCGCCGGCATGGACCAAGCGGGTTTCCATCGAACAAAGAATTTTCTAATCCATTTCCTTCATGCTGGCAACTGGGGCAGCCTGTCCAATCACTCCTATCGTGTAGTTAGCCGCCAGCAATATGACCCGGAGTTCTGGAGACTCAATCCCTGCATAGCGTATTTGACATCCAAGAATAGCTGGCTCAAGTCCAAGTCCATACCGGTAACTTCAAGCTATGATCATTATCCATCTGCCCTTTGATTTCGCCCCTCCCCCTTGCGAAAATAACATGGACGAAGTCTTAATTCTACACTTTGTGTTGTGGTTGAAACTGAACTCTCAGGTACGGCGGAATTAGGTAGGTAAGTTTCGGGTTCGGTTCGGCCCGGTAATTTTTGAACCGGAGAAACTATTATCCTGCTTGTTACCCAAACCTCTCGTGCTGGACGTCAAGACGAAACATACAAATGGCATGGAAGACTTAACCTATAACGCGTGTTATCGCCTTGCTTTTTCTACTTTCTACTAGATACGATGCCTACGGTATCTACAGGCCGTTTTCCTATTAGGGGCGGTAGATATAGAGTGAAAGATACCCACTTCGGCGATACGCCAGAGTCAAGACTGGGATGCAACTAGGCTGAGGAGGCACAGCAACAGCCTGGAAGACGCTATGGCATTGAAGGAGATTACCATGCATATAGCCTTGTTATTCCCCTGCCTGAGGCTGCTTAATGCATAAATGTCTGCCTAACCGCCGACATTACGGGGCTTAACCAACATGATGAACCGGGGGACTCGGCCTGTGATATCCCTCATGTCGTCTTAGCGCTTGCTTGCTAGAAGCTCCTACCCACTAATTTCAATGACAGGCTTATTCGAGCCTCATGTGCCCGGCAGATGAGGCTTAGATGCAGTTTTATATGGGTGGGCGCTTAAGGAAGTGATTGGTGGTGTACCCCTCTTTCCTCTCACCAGGGGTGACTGCTGCCTGGTGGACAACACACTCGCTGAGCTTTGATTCCTGTCTCTGAGATAGTGCACTTTCCGCGCCCTCATGCCCAAGTTGACTGCTCAAGGTACACTTGATATTCAATCTCTATACCATTAGGCAACAAGAAACCGGCTATAAATACTCCACCAAATCCCCCTCTGGGAGAACTATCATTCCACAAAACACACAAGAATCTGAGACTCGCCCTACTACCAAACACTTCACTATCAATCACTCTGATACCACTCCCTCTACTATCAACATTCATTCCCAACGCCTTTTTCTTTGCTACCCCTGCCCTCTTTTGGTTGATTTCTTTAATACAACCACAAAAAATGGCCACCACGCTTCTTGAATATCTTACCCAGCCTAATCCAGCAGTTGAAAACTCCCGCTCTCTGCAGGGCCTACCATCGAAATGTGAACCAAAAGAAGAAATCCATCTTGAGGATTGGAAGCACTTTACCTACTCAACTCTGATGTCTTGCTACGGCCACATTTTGACTACTTCGATTCACGGTCCATTGCCCGAAATCTCTCCTCCCGTGAGAAATATCGAGCTCAGAATATTCGATGAAGACTCCCTTGATCACCTCTTAACTCGCACGGTCGTTCCTCCTGTTAACGAGAGTCTCAGGATGGCCTGGAGGGGATATTACTCAGATTACCCTGGACTGGCTATTGATATGACCCGAGGGGGCCGAGCAAGAGCCTTTCAGAATGACATTCCCGTACCTGGTGTGCCGACTGAGACACGATCTCGAGATTCCAGTGACCAGACGCCAGTATTCCCTGACTGGGCTGGCATACAAGCAGCTTCAGGCCAAGCGCCATACCTTAACCGATGCCCAGGCGATTCAAAGCTGTCATCAAAATGGCAATCCAACGCAGATACGGACAAGGCATTTTACAAATGGCCTTATGCTCAACTTATCAAATACTGTGGGGAAACTTGGAATACCAGATATGGGTATATAATTACCGACAAAGAGCTTGTTGTTCTACGCATCTCAAGGGCAATGATTCCGTCAGGAATTGCTAATAAGAGGTCCCCACGCAATGTTGCTTCTCAGCTCTCTCGCACAACGGGACAGGACAGTCCGCTCTTTGTATCGTCTAGCCCCCCAAGCATCCGGTCCTCCCCTGCGCGCCAGGGCCATCTGCGAAACATTTCAGCTTCTTCCGCCGCTAGTGCTATGTCAATAGACCGATCCTCAAGCCGGCCTCGACAATCTTCTATCGCTGCTAGCTTCTCTTCACTATCCATGAGTGAGGCGAGCGAACACGCTCCTGGTAGCGAAAGAATGTCTAGCAGTGATCACATGCCCAGTAGTCAGTCATATAGAGATGACGGTCGAGGTGGGGAGTACAGGCCTATCGAGATGAAGAGTATTCCCTGGGATAATTCAGGCAAGGGAAAATTAACGGTCAAGCTTGCCCTGTGGTGGATCCATATGATGGCAGCTGCACCTGGATGTGATACTACCATTGGGCCCGAATATCCACCCATCGATTCTTGGGTGCCTCATCCTCAAGAAGGGGGCTACCGTCATACCACAACTGGGTTGTTTTCTAAGAAACTTCCAAAAAATGCTAAAGAAATATCACCTCGTCGAGCAGCTCGAGGCATAGTGACACCACCACGTCAACGACAGCCTTCAGGCTCGCCACCTGCAGGACATCTATCTTCTCCTAACCAACAATCTCCCCAACATCCTACTAAAGAAGAAATTACTGGGATGTGCTGGATACCAGAGCGGTCTCGGTGGCAGTATCGAACAAGACATGGTTCTGTGGGTCTCATACGTCACGGAGTTCCAATCCGGAGTAGTGACGGAAGTTATTATTACATACAACGGACGCGCGAAGGAGGTTCACAATGGGTACGAGCAGAATCCGAAGATGAGGAGGATGAAGAGGAAGAAGAAGATGAAGACGATGACAATAATGAAAATGAATTTAGCAGGGGTCTGCCCCCGGCGTCTAACAGGTATCGGAGGTATTGAGACCATCATGAGCCTGGGTTTCCGCTATTTGTGTTTGTTTTGGTTTGTTTGTCTCACTATATTTGCCTTTCTGTCTCTGTTGTAGGCGCTCTTGGTCCTTTTCAAAGTTAGCCATTGTTCTCAGCTAAAATGACTCTAGTTATGGGACAGATATATATATTTCTACTCACCTTTTCAATCAACATTCGTAAATTGTTGGCCTCTTCATACATTCCGTGCTTTTCAGCCCACAGAATGCCCCTTAAAATGTTCTCTTTAAGAACTTCATTTAGCGAACCACTAACCACTTCACCATCCCTTACACATTCCACCCATTCACTGGCTTCCTTATCAAACGACTTGAAGTATTTCCGACGCTTTTCATTTGACCATAGAACCCGTGGGTACGGATATGTTGTGACACGCCCAAGATCAACAAGAAACGAGCCACGATAGTTTCTAGGCTGAGTGTCGTCAGGGAATAGAAGTGCTTTACGGGCAATCTTCATTTTTCGCCGGATCTCTGGGACATCATCGAGTGTCATTGGGTTTGGGATATAGTCTTTGACGATCGCCCATGGGGTATGATGACTGAGACACTTGGGCCGCTGTTTGCTGCCAGACAGTTTCATCCAGCCATGGCACTTAACAGCCCAGGTGCCGTTTTGACCAAGGCTATCCAGCCTAGCAAATGCTCTAGCTTCATTCGCTATAGGGCTAACATAGTGTGTTTCTCGTTCCTTGAGACGGCGCTTAATTGATAGGGGAGCATCGAATCTCCATTGTTTGAACTTCAAGAGCTACGAGTAAGAATCAAGCCAGGTTAAGGAAGGAGGGGCATATAATACTTACCACCTTCAGAGCATATTCACGGCCTTCTATCTTGACTAAATAGACGTCACCTTCCGTTCCTCCTCCTAGGAATTGTATATAGCGGATTGGCTTTTCATGGTGGACAAAACGACGCAGCTGGGGATGAGATGTCGATTTTCGAGTCGGATCATCCATGGGGAGGTCCGAAAGCCAGCGGCCTATCATCGAATCATCCATAAACGACGACATCCTGGCTATTTAATTGTATATCACATCAACAACTCGCCCTGCACGGTATATGTGATGTGCTCTGGAGTGCTCTGGACTGCTGCCTGTCTTGTTGCTTGGAAAATAAGATTAAGCTTCGAATTGGAACCTGTCCGGGCGGTCTGGGCTCCACTCGGATAAACTGAGCTCCCGGCTTGGCACAACCCAAAACCAATAACAAGCCATTTGCTTACATAATGAAGATTAAGTAATAGATCTAAACCGTATTCGGAAGTCTATAAACAACGTCGAAATAAAAAAAGCTGGACAAAAACAAGCAACTTTCGAATATAAAGCCAGCAGAACTCTCTATATACGCTGCTATATTAATATTAATAAATAGCCATGGCTCGTCGGTGGAAGTTGTAATGGATTTTCGTCAATTGGACTCTTTTGCCGCCCGTAGGTAACTATATGTTGTGATGCTCCCCGCAGGCCAAGTCAAGCTACAACCAAGCTGGGTTACTCCTGAACACATCCACGAATAACAACAAAAGTGGCTATTATTTCATGCTGATTTTCGAGCTCTGATAAAGTAGGGAAGAAGCTTGCCAAAGAACCAGTGCAGCAGTCGAGTGCTAATGTACGTTTTTGCAGGGAGAAGCCGTGTCCAGTGAATGCCTTTGTTTGCGCTTTATGCACGGCAAGCCGCCGACATCTCGACCTGGCCCTCCAACCACAGCCTCCCATCACAGAGAACAACCCTGCCGCCGCTTAAATTTTAGGTCCAGCTGCACATCTTCCTAGACATCTTTTGCCTGTTGAAGACATTAACCTACAAATCAGCCTCCCCACATATAACTCTTTGCAGAGAGTCGCGCTCTTCTGCAGAAAACAGCCGCCTCGCTCGCTGGATGAGCCCCAATGCAGCCCCGAGCTGAAATGATAGCGAGCCTAGATCAGAGAGAGAGCTTTGCGTCTGGAGCAGGGGGAGATGGCAAATTACAGCAGCACCGGTTCCAGCACCAGCACCAGTAGCGACGCCAGCAATTCTCTCGGCCTCAAGAGCAAAATATCGTCAACAACCCAAGCCTCGTTGAAGATAACTCCTGCAAATTCCCCTGTCCTCAAACCAGCTTCGAACTCAAGAAACCAGTACAAATCAACAAGTTATCTCACCACACTTTCCCTCCAAACCGTTATCGGCACAACCACATCAAGCTCGAACGGCTTTTCATATCACGAACCCTCTCGTTCTTTTGCCCTCTGCGCAGGCTCTGCTGCCGTTCTCGCTGAGCTAGATGAAGACCTGTCCGTCTCTCAGCGTTTCTTTCGAGCACGACCAACAGCCACCAGTGTCAACCCCGTCCTTTCATTCTATAATCCTCCGGGTCCACCAACCACTCCAGAATCACGACTTAGACCACCGCAGGCCTCGCTACGGTTGTCCACATCGGTTAACTCGCCTATATTTTCCAATTCTCCAAATGCAGCAGAGTGGGCGGAGAGCATTGCGTCGAAATCATGGACATCGCGGGAGAGGATAAAGGCTGTTACCAGTGTTTCCATCAGTCCCAATGGCAGGTTTCTAGCTGCCGGAGAGGTACGATTATGCCATTCTATATTACTCGCGGGTACAAATGCTAATATCGGCTGCTCACGTAGACGGGATATAATCCTCGTATCCTCTTGTTTTCCACAGCCAAGGATTCTTCTGCAGACGTCCCCCTCTCAATAATCACGGAACACACCTTCGGCGTTCGAAGCCTTGCTTTCAGTCCTAACTCTCAATTCTTGGCCAGTTTAGGTGATATTAATGACGGGTTTCTTTATATATGGCAGATTAACCTTCGAAATGGCTCTGCGAAACTTCACTCAACGAATAAATGTACATCGTTTGTTCGAGATATGTGTTGGATGGGGAATAATCTGATCACGTATGTCCCCAATTCCCACTGGCAAATCCAGACATAAAGCTAACGATACAGTGTTGGCATACGGCACGTAAAAGTTTGGAGACTCGGAGATGCCGGTAGACCGTGCTCCCCGTCAAAGCAGCGACCTAATGTCGATTCTCCCTCTATATCTAGCAGCCCACTACCGGTGGCCTTGTCGGGGAGAAACTGCCTCTTGGGAAATTTGCACCAAAGTACATTCACGTGTGTCTCTAGCATTTCCGACACCGAAGCAGTTATTTGCTCTGATTCAGGGGTTGTTTGCTTCCTGGATGACTCTAATAATCAGCAAAAGCTTCAATATGTTAAAAGATTTGATATCGGTGTTTCATCCGTTGTTGTTGATAGCAACTCTGGTTTCATTTGGTTCGGTGGTCGTAGCAGGCAGCTGGAGAAGTGTTCGATTGACGAGATGAGATCCTCTCCAATGATTTCGCCAACTTCGGCAAACATTGATACCCAACCGTGCCCGACACCAAAAAAGGCTTCCATTGTTTCCATGGGTATAATTGATACACATATGATTACAGTTGACTCATCCCGGACCCTTCGCATATGCCCTCTGGACCCATTGAGTAAGGACAACATTGAGAGTGTGGCAGATGTCTCCGTATCTGCGCACCGGGATTCAGTATTGGGTATTAGCACGGTTGAGACCCCTAATAGCAAATCGTCGGACTTTTTTACCTGGTCATGTGGTGGGACAGTCAGATTTTGGAATGTTAATGGAACTTGCTGCGACACATATAAAGTGGACTTGGAGCAGATTTCAGACGAGGATGAGGATGCCAACGAACTAAAGGTTTTACGTGCCACAGGTGGTATAAAAATGTTCGTTTCTGGAGATAGATATGGGGTAGTCAGGTAAGTCCAGCTAGCTATCGAGCTATTGACTTCCACTCATTGACTAATCTAAAATAATAGGACGATTAATGGGGAAACGTGGAAGTGTCAGAACGAAGTTAGAGCTCATGGAGCTGAAGTAACAGATATTGCGATCTACTCAGACCCTGACACTACTTTAATCGCGAGCTGTGGGCGCGATAGAATGGTCCAGTTATTCAAAAGTAAAGACTATTCAATTGAGGTAATACAAACCATGGATGAACATGTTGGTGCAGTTGGGCAGCTACTATTCACCAAAGACGGGAAAAGGCTACTATCTTCTTCGGCAGACAGGACAGTTATTATTCGCGAAAGAATGACCCGAGAGGATGACAGTGGCTCTACGGTTGCGTTCCTTCTCTCAAAAGTCATAACACTGAAGGCGTCACCAGTTTCGATAGTGACCCCCCCTGGTGATCCAGACACGCTTATATTATCCACGATAGATCGGCTGATACAGAGATACCACATACCATCTAGCCGTCAGGTACATTCTTTTCGTGTTCTTGACCCTGAAAGCGGTGATACTGCTGTCATGAGCTCTCTCATTCTTGAAAAGGACTACCCCGAATATGGCCCACGACTTCTGATTGGCGTATCAACAACCGATAAATCCATCAGGGTATATGACTCGGAGAAGGATACCCTCCTTACCCGAGAGTTTGGCCATACTGAAGGAGTCAGTGACGTTGTCCTTCTTGAAAGCAATGAGCCAAACTCTACAGGCGCAATCAAAAGGACCCTCATTAGCACCGGCCTGGATGGGGTAATTATGGTTTGGAATCTCTCTACCCAACAGCAATATTTGCAAGAAAGTCCGCACCTTCTTCCCCACCCTGAAGAGGAGACTCCAACAAAGGAACTTACGGCAGCTAAACCCCCGCTCCGCCGTATCCTTTCAAAGACGGAATTGGCTGGTTTCCAAAAGTCCGATAATGTTCTGACAACACCAACCCCGGTGCGTGACTCTCCTCCGCGTATCCGCAAGAAGACGTCCAGATATACGCTAGGAGGTGGTTTAAAAAACGGCGTCAATGGTGTATCAACAGTATCTACACCGCCTCTTCCTCCTCGCCGATCTCCCACTGCCCCATATTCCGATAGCAGAAACCAGGCCAACCGCTCTCCATCACCACCCAGCCCCCGGCACATGTCCAAAACAGTAGCCAACAAAACAAGCAGTGGAAGCCTCCGTGCCAATGGCAGCGTACGACGGCCATCGATGCTCGAAGTTCGCACTCGCACCTCTAGTAAACCGAACTGGAATTCATCTCCTAATAGCAACTCGCCTAGTGAATTTGGAAGCCTTAACATGTCCACCGAGCAAGTCTGCCGTACGCTCCGTGCGTATCGCAAAAAGCTTAACGTCTCATCTGATAAATTTAACCTTCAGGGAGCCAGTGAACTCGAGCGAGAACTCGATCTAACTGTCCGCTCGTTGGGTGACAAAATGAAGAAGACCCAACTAAACGGGACGAAAAGTGACTCCCACTCCAATGGAAACACGCCAACCGCCTGCAGAAACAAAGATCTTTCGCCACTAGCTTCAAAGCAAGGCCGAACAGCCCGTCGGATACCCTCAACGCCTAATCTAAGCCAAGCGCGGAAGTGCAAAGGACATCGAACGAACTCACTAGATGCAGATGGAGAAGGATAGTCTATATGACAGCTTCTCATGATTTAAAGGCTAATTATATTGCCTACTTCTTTCCGTTGTTACGATGCTCTGGCTACCTCGCTTCTACACACCTATCTCATGTTCTTCCCTCCCACCCTTTCTTATATGTTCTTCCTTCTATTTATTATGTTTGGCATAGCCAGTTATTCCTCCTTGCGTCAATATGTGTGCGGGTTGTTGGTCTGCATAATACGGTTTGGACGGGGTCCTCCACTTTTGATCAAGCCAGTTCATTTACTGTCTTCAAACTTGTCTCCTCCCCTTTCTCTCTTCTATGATACCAGAGTCATTTATTTGACATTCTATTCTATTCAATTTCTTGGCCCGCATTACTACATGATATTTAGTTTCATTTTTTTTTACTTTCTTGTTTTATTGAGAACCCGGGTAAGCGCATTATACACCCCCTGCTTTCATTTGTTTAGGGATTTCCTATTTTGTCTTTTACAAATCAACATTCTTGAGTACACATAAGGCCCATCCGCATGTTTTCTTTTGCTTTACATCTCAGAAATGACTGTTTATAATAATAACTAGTAGACTCAAGTCAATCTAGAAATTCTAGTGACTGTAAGTCATCCCAATAATGCCCCATATGCAGCACACATTCTTGAGGAGAGGCTGTCTGTATCCCATCCATTGAACTCGATGTTCTGAACTAGATTAACAGCCTCATTGTACCACTCGCGACTCAAGTTGTTCTTCATGTCTCTGTAAAGTATTAACGACTGATTATACACCGCAACGGGTAGCCATTGCATTTCCCAACAAAGCTCCTTCGTTATCTCCGGTGATATTTGAGGCCTTTGGTTTGTTGCTATGTGTACTAGCTTTTGTGCTTCACTAGCAATGAATTTGGTACTTTTTTCGTCACATTTAAGTCCAAATTGATAGAGACAGCGAAGCCAACGGAACTGATTCAACACGTCACATGGAGTTTCAGACGCCAGCTTCAACGCAGTAGCTCGCTACGTATGTCATTAGTATTGCAATAACAGTTAGAATCTTTAGACTTGCCTGGAAAGCTTTATAGAGAGCTGGGGTAGTTAATCCCGAAGACATAATCCGGTCTGCAAGGATGCAAAGCAGTTGTGGATCTGAGCCTGCATCGCAATTACTCAGGATTGTGCAAATACCATCTTCGTTCTCCGGATTCAAATTAATTGCACGATGGAAATAAAGTGCCACCAGAGAACGAACAACATCAGAAAACTTCGCCCATCTTTCTGGAGTAATATCTTGACCATGAGTTGTGAGATAATCTTGGCACCGTCGCAGATACATTCTTGCACTGGTAAAGTATAGGTCCTAAGATCTCGTGTCAGTCCTAATATGTAATAATGAATGATAAAGTGAATTGGCTCACCCTTGAAATGTGATTCTCAGTGAGATATGCTATATCTAAGTGTGCTAAGGTTGCCATGCTGTGGCACCAAAAAATACGCTGATTGATGCTGGATACCGTATCAGCGTCCAGCCCTCTGGGAAACAGGCCGAGGATCTGAATGCAGTGTCAGTACGAAAATAGTCGAGGCAAATATAGGGATTTTATGCAACTCAAACCTTTATGCAACAGTCAATAAGTCTAACCGAAGACTTTACGTCCCACAGTGCATAATTCCTAATTACTAAAGTATAACCATTTGAAGAAAACCATTCCAGGTATTGAATTTTCTCTTGTTGTGGTCTTGTGTCTAGGCAAATACTGGTAGAAACTAATAGACGACCTAAAGTTAGAATGATATATCTCCCCGGATTTCCATGGAGCCAGGTATATGAAAACTTCTTACATTTCTCAAAGAGCTGGCAAATCTCTTCAACAGTCTCAGCCCTAGGTGTCAGCTGTTGGCTTGCCGAGAATTCTTTGGCCATAATACGGATGCAGCACCTTTTAAGAGTCAAAATCGAGGTCAGAAAATCAAGGCGAGATAGAACAGTATAAACCTTACTTGAGAAGAGGAACTGTGTGATATCCTGCCCGATCGTTGATGAGTAGCTCCCTGAAAATGGGGCCAAGAATAGAGATTTTGTTGCAAGATTCGGCATAGGCAATGCAAGCATACATGACACTAAAGTCTGCGCTCCCGTAGAGCATATCTAATACACTCTTCCTTACTATTATATACTCGAAGGTTAGGAGATACCACATCGATCCGAGAGACAATTACATACCGGTATCTAGCTTTTCATGCTTTAATGCTAACTGGTATGACAGGAACTGGGAATTAACGGATAATCCCTTGAAGCTTGCGAGCTTATTAAAACGAGAAGGGGTAATATTTTCTGAACAAGATGCGTAAAAAAGCAGCTTCCTGCAATGAAAAGGTCAGACGAGTTCCAGGAGTCTGGCAGCATTGGTGTCCAGATCACGAGCATATAAATCTTTGATTTTGGACATTCACTTCTTCTGATATAGGGATAGTACTCTACCTTTGGATTATATCTTTGTCGCCTTCTTCCAGAACCTGGTGCTGGGCAAGTTCACACCAATCATATGCGAAGTTGACGTTCCCTGCGTTGGAACAGGTATTCGCTTTGGAAAGGAACATCTAAATCAAGTCAGCCCGAAGATTATCCATATCCGTATCATATCATATAGCCTTTACCACCCGTGCAGCCTGAGAAGTTTCAAATCCAAGCCTGACTATTTTCTGTTTTGCACCGCACAGTGACTCGAATAGCAACGAGGACTGCTTTAAGCCTTCAGGCATATCTACATCAGCTGTACATAGCCGTAGGAAGACTAGCACCAGTGTTTCTATAAGTGCAACTTCACTTTCAAACTGTTGAAGCTTGCCCGATATCAGCTGCTGGAAGATGTGATATGCTAAACCTGGACTGTATATTGTCAGTCATATGACCAGTTTTTAGGGTTAAATGAGGTTTGTATACCACTGGAGCCAAAATTGGTGAATGCAACAAAGTATGCTTCATAAGGTTAGGTATATTTTTAGTCAAAGACCTCGAATAATTAGATGCTCGGTGATTACCTGCTCAGGTGGGATTGGACAAGTCCTGATTCGATCAGTAACTGAAGATCTATCTCTCACGTTAGTACTCGGCTATTGTAGTACTGTGATAGGTTTCCCTAGATCATACAGTGACTACATCGCGCGCCCCCATTCTCTACATGTGGAATTAGAGCAAGGGAAACCTCAAATCCCACAAACATAGTACTAGGTTCAGAACCATAATTCTATTGAGGATTAGTATGGTGTCAATCAATAGGGATCTAACACATACCTCTTCTAGCTTACTATATAATCTCTGGACAGGTTCTATGAATAGAGTTGAATTTTTCTGTAATTCTAGGTACGCTATGACTAGAAGCAGCACGTAAGATTGGAGACCGAATTGATACAGAATAACTAATCACGTACTAAGTTCGTGTAGGAGAGCTTGTCGAATAGACTCGAACTGTTCATATGTTTCTTGCTCCGCACTCTGTGCAAAGACAAAGTCGTGACAACATTGTAACCATTCAATAGCTGCCGGATCACCTTCCCTTTTCTTCGCTATTCCGATACGGAAGAGTATGTCTGCAGCCTTTGTCTTCCACTCAAGACTCTGGACAGCAAACGGAATAGGTTGCTGGGCTATTCCAAGCCCCTTTAATCTATCTTTCCATGTCTGGTTGTAATCAAAGTTAGATTTGGTAGATTTGATTCTATTTCTCTCACGAAGCTTACCAGTATAGACAGTTGGAACGAGCATTCTGCAGCTAGTTCACGGGCTTCTGAGGATTCCTCTTTGGAAATCCCAGAATTATGCCGGTCCAGCCTTTCTAAAACCTTCTTGGCAAGATCTGAATAGCCCATACCTATTCCTCTAGTGTCAGTATTGTTCAGCTTCCTCATGTGGTCAATACTAACCAATCATCCTGTCTGTGGTCTGCAGCCCCGCCTTGTACAGACGGTTGTACTCTGGCCGCCTATGTCAACGAAAGCAATACCTTGCAGTATCCACCGTACACCACTCACCAGAACCATCACTTTCCTCGTCCATACCCCATTCGACGAGTAAGAATGCAAGAAACATCACTAAATGAGCCGTGTTAACAACTATACGACAAGGGGAAAGTGGTAACAATATATAACTAACATTTGCCCAGGATTTTCATGGTTTCAACCCGAGAGATGTTCTGCGGTTTAGCTAACTCTTTGACGCATTCATTCCACGTTTCCGTACCGAGGTCATCAAGCGTTCTCCGTTTTGGGGAGGCGAGTTGTGTAGAATCGAATGAGAATGACAGGGACAGATATTCATCCAAATCGTTTACGGATGTCAACGCGGTAGGCTTTCCGGGTTTGTTCAGTACTTTATGAAGAGGGGAAAGCATGCGGGACACCAGCACTGTCTGGTGGTTAGATATGGCACGTAAATATCTGTAGTCTGAGAAATTACCCACGCTGAAGCCACTCGTCTATAACGAAAACCATCCTGGGTATTTTGAAGCCTTCCTCTCGGATGAAGAGCTAGATAGCTTAGGTTGTTAGTCCATGAGCGGTGATGTTGCTGGACGTTGCGTTCAAGTCAACAGTTGACGTTGATTTTAACGTCCAGATGAGGCAGTCGTCCGTGCACACTTCCTAATCAGGAAATATCAACACAGCGTCATATAAAACACAACAAAAAACGCAGCAACAGACATATGGTGTGAGCTTTGTCAGATTGATGGGCTTATCTACACTCTAGTACTGAGAACCACCTTTCATGTCAGCGACGAACAGAAGCAAAAAATAAAGGGAAGGGGAAATGTTGCCATCGTATCGTCTTTGATGCTTCGAAATAGAGCGCCGACAGTTGCACTATCAACCGGTGAAAGATAAGAAACAAATCAAAACCAAAAGCCCTTGGCCGCGATCTCTCAGCATACAGGTATATGCATACACGAACTCCATGAGACTTAAAACAGGAGGGAAAAGCAATCCATTCGCGGAACACGAACAGCAAAGGGTATTGAATAATATTTACACAAAATAGAAAGCGGGGTAACATAGATAGTTGCAACGTCGAGAAGTTCGTACTATCGATGGACATCTATGCGTTTTGTAGGGAGGAAGTTCCCTACTATCAAGGAAGGACTGTGGAGGGGCTGGTTAGCTAAAGGTCGATCAACGTGAGGCTAGAGAAAACAGTACTTACATGTTATGGTTATCTCGGCGGATGGTAAAGGAAAAACAGCAGGGAATGTTCTTCTTTGGACTGTTCGGGTCAGGGCTCTTAAGCGTACAGCTTGTAAGCATCGCCTTTTGCGAACTGTCGAACGCAATGGCACCGAATTTCTCCCAGTAGCTAACGAGTTGATCTTCAACCACTATTTCATGAATAGCAAGTTTACCCTGATCGTCGTTAGAGATGCCGCATTGGATCAAAGCAGGTTAGCCAAAACTTACATCTCTCAATGAGTCCATGGGTACATCTATCAGCTGGGCCATCTCCTGATTTCCTCTGAATATCTGTCCTGTTCTTCGCCATAGACAGGCCGGTATGGCCATACTTGCAAAGACACGGTCGTACTCCATCAAACTTCGCTCAAACCACATCTCAACTAGGACTAGTTCGATATCGGTAAGAGCATGCATACGCTCTCTGAATGCAGGACGGAATTTATCTAGCTGACGAAGAATTTTTTGCCGGGAGCTAGGCTGTAGGTGCTCTTCCATGTACTTGTTTAGCCGAGCATAACCGTTTACATAGTTAAACGGCTTGAGTAGGCCGGCATCGTATTTTGCCTTAAGAAGTTTATTCATACGTTCTTCTGGAGGGTCAGTGCCGGAAGGGTCAGCTGCAGTCATGTAATACGTCTCCTTGGCCTTGTCATTTCCAACAGTGCTGTTGGGCCGTTGTATAGAGCCTCCTTGGGATGCCTGTGACGGGTTGATAAACTGCGACGGTGATATTGTGGAAGATTGTTGTTGTTGTGGGTATCCTTCATTATTCCGTGAAAGATTCGTGGCCATGGAATTTAGGAGAGACATGTCGGAGTAGAGACCCCGTGCCTCGTCATTGGGGAACATTGATCCGTCGTCTAGGAGACTGGTGCTGAGAAAGTCGTTGAGCAGGTTATACTCGTTGGTGAATTCGGGGGCGTTGAACATGTAAGATGGGTGGAAGGAATGGATATCTTGAAACTGGCTGTTTTGCCCACCAAGCCGCCATTCGTTGTTATAACCCATTACTATGCGAGAAGTCAGTTTATACTACGTGACAGCATATGTATGGTTCGCTCGATCTATCTTACAGCCTTGTTGGCCAATATCGATATTCGGACCGGAAGCGGCTATGTCCTGCGGCCGAGCGCTCTGGGAGGAAGAAGTCAAGGCAGGCGGTTGCATAGAAAGCCCTGTATCGGGTAGTATTGGGTCGTCTAGGGTGTCACGTCCATCAATAGTCTGCGACATGCCTTTACCCTCAAAATCATTGTTCGCAGTTGTACTCTCGTCAGCTACAGAGGTGGCAGCAGCTGTGCCTTCTGTGTCGTTCTTCACGCGTTTGGTAGGTTCACGAGGTTTGTCATGACACAGATGACCAATGTTGCGTTTTATACAGCGGCTACATGGTCGTCCCTAGAAGAAGCAGAGAAACGATCTTCCGGTCAGCAAAGGCAGCTCGCCACAGAAAGCTCAACGCGTCATGGGATTGGACAAAAAGTCTCTGAAATGATGGAGGTAGAGATGGTCGTACCGAATCGCAAGTCATATGCTGTTCAACGTCATCACCGAAGATGGTGATCTATGGTTAGCCAAATCTTCTTATCCTGTACAGCCAAATCCAGCATGCAAAACAGATTGCCTATAGCGAGGGCCCCCTGAGCCCTGGGGAATGGAAGGGAGACAACATGGTAGGTGGGATAAAGTGTGGGAAGCGATAAGAAAAAAAAAAAAAAAAATAAGTCAAGAAAGTACGATGATGAAAGGAGATCTTGGAAGCTCACCGATCGACGGCAGTAGACGCATGCTATAGAGCGAATGAGTGGTCAGCGGTTTTACTTCCGATGCGCGCCATGGAACAAAAAAGCAAGCAGATAAAGAAAAGAAATGAAGAAATTAAGAAAAAGAAAAGAAAAAGAAGGGCAGCGGCAGCGGCATTAGGAGAATAGACGTTGAATAAAATATATAAAACGATCAAGGAGAGGGAGAGGGGAAGGGAAGGGAAAAAGAGAAGAAGGTTGAGCCCTGCAGGCCTGGTTTGCAATGTGGAACCCGTATAAAAGTATAGAAATTCCATCACCGGCCGGTCGAAAAAAATAGCAGACGGGGGAGGGAGAAGCAATGACGAGGGAAGATGCAGGTTCTCGCATGTAACCTGCTGGGTGTTGCGGCTTCTTGAGCTTCTGTTACTCACCGTGGTTGACCTTCCGTCTCTTTTTGGGGCTGGAACCCGTAGGCGGCGCCCTATCTGCAGCTTCTGCAGCCGGTTGAGCATCCCCAGTGCTCATCACGCCTATCGTAGGCTTGGCCGACTTCGCGGTGTCCTGGTCCTTCTCAGCTGAAGCAGCAGGCGCAGCAGACGCAGTTGGCTCTGTGGCACCATTGCTATGCTTCCCTTCTTCCAGCGCGCCCGTCGCGGTCTCGGCAGCCTCACCACCCATTGCATCGAGTGCCCAATCGTCTGGGATGGGCTTTCGGTCAGTTCTCCGGCAGAGAGCAGAGGGTAAGACGGCTACGCAGCCAGAAAAGAGGGTTTCGGTCGTCGGGTCGGTTTTTCACTTCACGGTTGTCAGCGTTCCACACGGGCCTGGGCAACGATGGCCTGTCCCATCAGGTACCACTGCAGCAGCGCTCGACGGGGGTGTGTTTTTCTTCGTGTAGGCAGGGCAGGGCAAGCCAGAAGAACCAAAGCAAAGCAAAAGAAAAGGTAGCGAAACGAGCAACGACCCGAACGAAGCACGGGCGGGATGGCGGAACGGCGGAACAGCGGGAACGCCCAGAAGTGGACAGACAGCCTCGATGGAGCAGCGTGCAGGCGTCCGTCCAGTGCTGATTCGGGCTGTACGTTATATTATGTGTGCGCTGGCGGGAAGGGGTCTGGGATGGCTGGGTTTTTGCTGCGTTGTCCGTCCGGTCTGCGAGTTTCAAATTCTGGGTTTGTCGGCGAACAAAAAGGCCATCGCACCAAACAGGCGTCCTCCTCCAATAGATCCCTTAACTGACGCGCGCTCGAGATTGGTAAACATGGATGGAGCTTCTGGGCGCATGGAGTCTCGCAGTGTCGAAGGGACCTTCGCAGGCGTTGGGAGTTGAGAGGTGGAAGAGAAGAAGAAGCCGAAGAAAGTCAGGAAAAAGAAAAAAAGGGGGACGCCACTCTGGCTGCGCTCGCTCGCAAGGGCGCCGACGGCTTTAGTACGTTAACAGCGCCAGAGGACGCCCGGCCATGGGAGAGCGCAGTAACCATTAGTTATTATTATTATGCTGGACATCGGGCGTGACGACGGGCAAGAGGTCGATGCTGCACAGGTTGATGATTCATTTCTTACGGCGTCCTGGCGCGTCGAAAATCCCTTCACATGCAGCAGTTGGGCGCAGTGCCGAGCGATGATACAATTCAATAGTTGATGTCCTGCAGCTACTTGGCAGCGCATAAGATGGCTTGTTAGGATTATCCTAGATGCTTGCCTGGACTGGAGGAGGGAGGAGGGTCGGTGGTCTCTGTTTCTGACTCCCACTTGCTTGGGTGGTTTGATATATCTGGGGTTGGTGGCGGCCGTTTCGATGGCGAGCCGCCAACGTTGAGCTGGAGACGGCCAGCCCTCTTGCAGTGCTACTCAAGGCCTGGAACTGCGCAGAGGAACTGCCAGGCGAAGCTTCCAGACCTGGAGGGGCGCAGACTCCATCCGGAGACGCTGCATAAACCTCCGCAGTGCTCCGTGTATGTATATGGAAGTATACCGAAGCTGACATCTCAGACCCTTGCCCAGAATTAATCCGCCCCAGAGTACCTTGCTCGTGCAGGGACGAGGCCTTCTTCCGTCTGTCCTCTTTGCCAAGTTCATCGATCTTAGTAAATAATTGATCCTGCTGATTTTTGCATGATTCCTCCCTTTCACCACATTTTGACGTAATTCCTTCAGCCGAGTGGGAGCATGTCGAGTGCCGCCTTCGCCCGGGAGATTGCATGACCGATCCCTCGTACCTGAGCTGCGTTGCCCTGCATGGATTCAAGATGGTTGCGAAGCTGTTTGATCGCGGGAAGGAGGGCTGGGTCCGTGTCGATCTAATCAACGTACATGTCAGCAATGTCACCCATCATACGGGCAGCCGGCATTCTAGGACATACTTCACTAAAAAGACTCTCCTCACTCTTGACCTCGAGCTTGAACTCTGCGCTGACTGCTTCCTCCACGCTCGATTCGTCAAGTTGCTTGAGAACGGGGTGAACCTAAAAGGTCAATATATCAGCCAGCGCATTTGTAGACAGCAGGGAACAATTAGGCGCACGAACATTCTTATTCAACCTCTTCCTCTCAGCCTCTGCTGCTTTGGCATTGCGCTCTAGTTCCTCCAGCTTCAGCTTGTCCTTTGCCAGCTCGGCTTCTTCCCGCTTAATCTCAGCTTGTAGCAGCCGAATAGAACTCGTAGCCGCCGCCAATTGGCTCTCCAGCGCTCTCTATATCGTCCCAGCCCAAGTCAGCTTTCATCAAGTACCCATCAATGACCCAAAAGCTCGTCGATTATAACATACACTCTCTCCCAGCGCACCCTCGTAATCAAAGCTACCATCTCTTGTACCCGCTGGGAATGGCATCTTCGGTAATCGTTTGCCCAGGTTCTTGCGCACCGTTGCGAGTGCCGACTGGGCCTCAACGCGCTTCTTCTCGTCTCGATTGCGCGTGATGACCGGCAGCTCGACCGATTGAAAGAGCAGTTTTACCTTCTCCTGCGTAGAGTCCGGTAGCGTCGTCCATTTCGACTTTATAGTCTCCTCGTTGATGTGTCGTATCCGCGGCTTCAGGGTAAACGGAGCATTGTTAGGCTTGCTGCGTTTGGTGTTTGCTGGAGGGGACGCAGGCTCGTGGGAATCGGCCTGTCTTCGCTTCGGCGGCATCTTGGGGCCTGATATGGGCCTGTCCTGTATGGTATTCTGACTCTCCTCTCTCTCCCTTGCTCGAGCGAGTTGTAGCTTGCACGTCGTCCGTCTGTTCGGCCAGCTGAAGCTCGTCGTTTCATGCTTATCGCGATGTCCCGATAAGGTAAACAGTGACTAATCACAGGATTATATGGATCAGGTGACTTTTCATTGCCCCAAAAATCGCCAACTCTACTATATCGTAAACTTCGCTTAGTCAGCCTCCATTTCCTCCAGCTAAAAGAATCCATCGCAAGGACTTTCATTGCTATAAACGACACTCAATCCTCCATAGCGGACTTCAACCACTCGGAAAAGTCAAGATCATGCCATGCTGCTCCTACCATCATGCATATATCCGTGGCCATGCCTGCAAGGAAGCTCGATAGCACGGTAAAGAAAACCGCGGTAGCCCCTCAGGATCTCACCAAAGATACGCCTAGCGATAGGTAGCCCGAGGCATCATACATTTATTAGGGTTAGAATCTTGGTGGCAGGAGAATACAGCTGTAAACACAGTTCACAATGGCCGTAGCTGTTTCTTTTTCCTTAGCTGCCTGCAACTTTGGTCTCATGTCAGGCACCGTATGCAGATCAGCCGAGATGCATACGAGCCAGCTCACTGCAGAAGCAAAAGCAACGTTGATGCCGCTATTTCTTTGAATTTGGATAGAGCCCCCCAAGAATAACAGTAAGTGGCAGGGAAGCTCAAAAATATTGATTTCGATCTATAGTACAATGGCCGCTGGTACCTCTATCCAATTGGGAGGATGGGGAAAGCCCCTCGCAAATCTCACCTACAGTTATCCAACCCTATAGCCTTCCATCTGAGTCTATGAACAGCAACGCCCTAAGCCAGGCTGCCCTCTCTTCTTCATTCTTAGCTTCACGGTCCAGAAATTTGTCGATTCCTTCGAATAGCTGTCTTATTGAAAGGTCATAGTCTGCTGTTTCAACTCTACCATCCCAATGTTTAAATGCACCAGTGTCTTTGATAAACTCATTCATAAGCTCGACACCATGCGCCCAGAGCTCCACGTCTCGTTCTTGCTGCTCCACGTCGGTAGCAGAGAAATCCAAAGGGCAGGGAATGCTAGGTTTACCATCTGCGGCCACACCAACTATCGTAGGCCATGAGTTCCTAATTTCCCTTAATAAACTGTTAAGGCATGGTTCGCAGTCCGTCAACATCAATCCTGGTAGGACGCTAACTTGTTGACGAGGCGTACTATGTCCCTGAATAGCCTGGAAAGTCGTTGGATTTGATCGCACTGTTAAAGCTAGGTATAGGTTGTGTAGCGTTTGGGAATGATAGAGCGCCTTCGCTTCAACCTGTTCTTCAGCAGACATACTGTCAAAATTCGGAGGCAAACTAACCCTCCCGAGTTCCTTGGGGGTCGGGCCATTATAGTCCAAGAAAGCCGGGCGGGTGACTTGCATGAAAAGTGGACAAGCACTGGCTGATTGCCAGTCGATGATACCAACTATTCGACTGGGATCTTCCGGATCAACGAAGATATTTCGGGAGTGTAAGTCCCCATGCCACAAGACAGATTCATGCACGGCTTTATTCTCTGGTAAAACGTATTTTAAGACCTTCAGGTAGTTGTTCAGTGCCGATATCTTTTTACCTGCAGTGGGCTGATACTGCCTAGGCCCGTAGAAGAGGCCTTCTGGGAAGAGAGGGTATTTCAAGCCGGCGTTTACACATGCAATTTCTCTGTTAGCAATGGCTTCCAGGTACGCGGTGATATCAGGCCCTATTCTCAACTATTTAGCATTTGAACAGTCGATACTTTAAGCATGCAGATATGTCATACATGGTCCACGATCGATGTCAAGCCCCCCTTTGCCAAAGTCAAAGAAAGAACGGTGATTGGTGGGTCCAATCTCAAACTCTGGGCTATACACATCATTGCCACTCCCATCGACATAGAGCGGTGAGTTTCTTTCTGGCGTAGGGAGATCTTCCTTGTAATACAAGGCTCCTATTTTCGTGAACTTTGTCGACGCGAGAATCCTTTCAAATTCAACCACTTGTTGCAAAATGCTAGCTTTCTGCTTTCCTTTCATAGTGGTCCATACATCACGAAGAACCACACCAGGTTGTTTCTCCATGATTATATATTCAGCCCCAACAGGGTTATCAGGCCTGGAGTTCCAGGCATGAACCTTCGGAACTGGAAAATGGAGGACTTTCCTCAACTATGCAAGTCAGTATAGTTTAAATATATGAAGTCGTAGGAATTAGACCAAAGGTGCCACCATACAAATTCTACAGTTGCAACTTCACTAGCGGTTATGAAACGTGGTCTTCCTGCGTTAGGATTCGGTAATTTTGCAACAACTTCACGTCCGTCATTCATCGTCAGGTAAAACACCTTGTTATTCTGGCCTTCAGAAACTTTCACAATTGTGGTGCATGATTCAGATCCAATCGCACCAGCAGCAATTCTAAGCAATTCCGATATATTAAATTTCAAGTGGCGTGCCTTGAGCTGCTGGCTTTCTCCCCAGAGCCATCGGCCGGAGGTAAACTGATACAGTGTCTCCAAGTCATAACTAGAGGCTATTTGCATGAGGTCAGTAAATAAAATTCAACCAAGGAGATGTATTCAAACATCTAGGAAGGTGTTTACCCTGCTCTGTATTATAAGAAGTGGAACCATATTGTCGAGCTCCAGCCGGACGTGAGGAGATAACGGGTGCTTTCGAAAAGTCATAAACTCGGGCTCTGAAGGGAGCTTTCATCCTATATTCCAAACCTAGACCTATCTCCCCGACAGTCAGGCGTTAGAAAACCAGTTCAAGCACTATTCGATTGATATTCAGGACTTGAATTGACGGTCGTCAATGATTAGAGGCTGATTTATTCTGAGTTAGCCAATCAAAGCTTGTTTGCACTTGAGTTGTGAATTGAAAAGTGGGTCCCTTTCTAGTTAAGTTTCCCGCGTATAATCTAATCAGATGATCTTATCAATCTTTAGTGGTGGGTGTTGGGAGGCACAAGGTCCCGTAATTCAGACAGCTCTATACATTAGTAGTCTATGGGCTAGGAGGGCTTATTCAGTTCGCATACACCATACTCTTTTTATCAGTCATGAGTTATGCTCTCCATGTACGTAATCTACTACCAAGGCGTACCTGCCTTCCGTTTATATATAAACGTCCGAAATTATGCATTGTCAGACCGTAGTGTTTATTCCATCAACCACGCAGTAAGGGCCGCAAGCCCTTCTTGGACCCCCTGACTTCAGTCTAATGGAATAGAAGTACGCACCCCGTCTCACATAAGTGTGAAGACAGCATCTTATAAATAAACCAAAGGCTTAGTAATGATTAGTCCGCCCCCCGCAGTTCGACGGCGGCTATGCACTCACAGGGGAGTACGCTAGGCAGTTAACAAAAACTGGATGTAGAAGTACTTACTTTGAGGTTGCCCATGTTTATTTATTGCATTGTCCAGGTGAGAGGGTAATCTAGAAATATCCACTAACTTGGATGGATCCCTGAAGAATACCTCAGTTGCCGGGATCAACATGGCTCATTTATGATTATCAACCACCTCGCTGAGAACCTTCCATTATCCTGATTATTGCTGATCAATGGCAGGAGGTATCCCGGTATCTATTTTATGTGGGTAGCCAGGCCATCTAGTTATCCACGGTGAGTAAAACCGCTTGTTCGATCATTTTGCGTTAGCCATGTATCTTCTACTTTTTGGCCGCGGAAGTACTTCCTATCGACCTGTGTATTTTATGCTGCAGCGCCTGTTGGCATAAGTCATGAAGATTCTGCTAGCCTCGTGGCGGCGAAAGTAACCAGGGGGCATATATCTATCACAAATATTGCATGTTGCATAACTATATCCTTGTGGTGCCTGGCCCCGAACTGCGGACAGTCACGCTAAGCCTCTTGCTGCTATATAATGTAGGAACAGCCTACTGCCGGTGTAATAGTCAGCAAAGTACATCGGAGATTGAGAAGAAGGCGGGGAATGAAGTTCAACGAGAACGCCATGAGTTCCTTGCCGCTGCCCTTACATGGCTGATTGTGGTATATAACTGCGACGTAAATCCCCTCAATCTGGATGGCTGGCCTCCTATCACACATCAGCCACTCAAGAATAAGTTTTATAGATCATTGCAACCTCCAGAATACAATGAAAATATCTTTCACTGTCCTGCTGCTCTCAGCAGTGTCCCTCTTCACCGTCGCCAGCGCAGTTACTCCATGGAAATTCTACCGCAGTATTAGTTCCACGGAATATGCCAACACTTTGCACACAATGACAGACACCGGCTTTCGCCTGACGTATATCTCGGCTTATGCCAACTCAGATGGGGAAGCTAGATATAACGTTATCTTCGAGAAGCCCGAGTATACACCAGCATGGCGCACCAATTACGGTTATAACGTTAATGAATTCAACAAGACCTTTGAAGAATTGAAGACTCAAGGCTTCCGACCTGTGCTAGTGGAAGGGTATAGCTTTGGCGGCGAGCGTCACTACGCCAGTATATGGGAGAACAACACTGAAGCCACCGAATGGGCTGAGCGCAGAAACATGTCTGGGGATGAATTCACGACCTGGTTCAAGGGACTGATGAAAAATGGGTTTCGACTTCGACATCTTAGCGGGTACGAGTTCAACGATCAGCAACAGTTTGCTGGCGTGTTTGAAAAAAGGGACAGTGTGCCGTGGAAGGCATATGCTGGCCTGACGGCTGCCGAGTTCAAGATCAAGTTCAACGCGGCTAAAAGGGATGGATATTATCCCGTGCAGATTAGCCCGTATACGGCATGCGGCAAAGTCTGGTTTGCGGGTATTTTCGAAAAGATGGATAACAACAAGGATAAGCCTATTGCTCTATTTGGGCTGAGCCCATTTCAGTACCAGATGAGAGCTGCTGAGTGGGCAATAAAGGGGTATAGGCCAACCATGGTAGACGGATATCTGGACAGAGGAGAGAAGTTCACCGCCATCTTCAACAAGGCCTAGACTGGTATTTGGGGTGATTATAAGGACTTATGCATGCGCTTATGATATTTATTGCTATGTTAGTTAAACCGTCGAATTGTTATTGTTGCTTCAGCATAGATCATGATTCCCTTAACCATCTCACCGGTAGAGCTCAAATATTGGGATAGCACTCATCCTGCAGTAAGAATCCTGTATTTCTTCATGTCCAACTCTGAAGGACAATTCACGTAACCCAATGAGGCTTAAAGTGAGGGATTAAATCTAATCTTATCAATCTTATCAATTCCATTTGACCCCTGATGACAGGGAGTATTTTTCTTACCAGTAGTACGACCTGTCTAGGTCCTAGAATCATGGCTGGATAGCCCAGTATCCCTTTCGAAGGCCACCCGATTGTCTATGCCACCATTCGCCTCCCCCCCCCCCGGACCCCAAGGCTCCTGCTTAAAGGCGGGGTACTGATATGCGTGGCATGTGTTCAGAATAGTTGACACTTAGCCTCCAGCCTCCCCTGAGCTTCAGGGAACTCATTTCTGTAACCAGTTAGTATAATTGAAGATCCGGTAATGATGATCCAGCAGCTTTTTGTCTATAGCGTTGTATAACGGGGTTTGCCCCAAAGCAGTCACCCAACCCAAGGTACCCAAGTCAGGCGGGGTATACTTTCAATATATGGTGCAGACACCTGGCCTGACGTAACTACCCAGGAATGCTCAATATCTCAGCTTGATGACATTCGCGTTATCGGGAAGATCGTCCCGAGCCATGCAATTCGCATCTATAACCATGCGTTATGTACCGTGGAAAGTGTGCAACCAACCCCACGGCCGCTGCATGGCCCACCGTTTCGTTTCACTTGCCACCCCCAAGCAATAGCCAGCATAAGGACCCTTTGTTTCTCCAGACTTGGCATTTGTGGAAGCTACGGAACCATATCTCGGGTATATAATTTGAGCTATGATTTGGCCAGACAGAGGCCTAAGGTGGAGACCTTGAAATTGGGGGATAGATAGCGCAGCTACCTCCGAAGTATAGCTGTATCTTGGATATGGGGTTAGAAAATGTGCAGTTAATCCGTTGGGCAAGTTTGAACGGACCAATAAAAGGATAGCTATTGGGATGGAAGCCAAACGAGGGTATGAATGATTCGACCGATAGAAACGACACCTCCCCATACATTTCCTGGAAGTCGGCTTGGTTGTCATGAGTGCGGAGAGGCTTAACTCAGCTAAGTATGGTTATAAGTTTGCTCTGGCTGGGAAACAGGTTGAGGTGCAATTACAAACGCCCAGTCAGTGGCGATGGCTGCCGTCATACCCAGACGGAGGCAGAAACGAGAAAGAGGATGAGAGGCCGGTCGATCAAGGAGACAAACAATAATAATCTCCATAACTCCCCTGCACGGAGTCCAAACACCGTCAAAGTGTCAAGGCTCGTTTTGACCACGGACGTACGTATGCATCCAGGACGCTTGTTCCACCAGAGATCCCAGCTATGGCAGGCATATAGTTAGCTGCGATCCGATATCGCCCACCAGCCCGCCACCAGCCAGCCAGCCAGCCAGTAACAGAGCAAAAGGAGCACAAAGCTAGCAGCGTAAACTCCAGGAACCCATTCTCGAACCGAAAACGAACTCCTCCAAAAGAGGGCCGTGAGCCAGAGCCAGAGCGAGACGGAAGTCGAGCGGAAGTATAACTCAAGCTGGCCGAAGTTAGGAAACCATTTTTTTTTAAGAAAAGCCATGAAACAAGCCAACTAGAGATGCCGAAAGATGAAACGGAGAGAGCTCACAGACCATCATCCAAAAATCTCTTATTGCTTTGACTTCCCTTCGTCCGCCAACCTCCCGGCTTCTGCGCCAGTAAGAAACTGTTCAGCGAACCGCGGTACATCCACAGTGGTAAATTCAGTGGGAAGAAGCAAAAAAAACGGGTCTGATCTGTCGGGAGGTTTGTCGCATTTGGGCAAATTCCCCGAACGCTCTCCGCATGGGGGAGTTATAGCAGCTCAGTTGAGAAGTGAACTGCTTGCTGTGGTTGGTGTGCCTTCTGTTATATGTGGATGGAAGTGTTATAGGTGGGTTGTGGAGGACGGTGGACAGTAGTGGATGCCAGATGGGCGTTTGCATGCCGCTGGGGATTATCGGGGAGGCCGTGGCCCATCGTAGAACAGTTAGACTGTCACCGTGAACACTATGGAGGACGCTGACTATATGGAATAAGAGTTTTTGTATTATTTATGTAGGTATGTGGGATATGTAGGTAGATGTATGTAATTATGCGAGTGTGGGATGCCGTGCTGATGCCGTGCGAATGCCTCGTTACATCGTGGGAGTAAGTAGAGGGCAGTATATAGGCGGAAAACGAGAGAGAGAAAGAGAGACATGAGTATCATCAGGTAGATAGAAAGTGAGGTTATACAGACAGAAGCAAGACATGGGGGGTGGTATATATAGTAAACGCGCCAAACAACAAGGCCATGTTAAACAAATAAGATCCGTCCGTCCAACAGAGAATATAAGGGAAATTAGACGATATATAGGCGGTATGATATGTATGTCAGTCAATATGCATGGCTTATGTGCACCCATCTGTCATCCTCCTCTCGCCTTGAGGTCCGCCAACTGTGCCTTGAGAAGCTCGTTGCCGGCCAGGAGGTCTGCCAGCCAGTCGCCTGCTTGCGTCAGCATAGTGCTTTTGCTGTACCCTCCCCCCCTCAGCTCGGGGACCAGCGAGCACAGGTCGTCAAACCCTTGTTTTATCAGGTTTCGGCGTTTCTGCTCGGAGAGGATGTGGTTTGTACGTTTCTGTTCTTCGGACAGATTTTCTCGTACAGGTTTGATAGTGGTGCCGTTTCCGGCAGGCGAAGAGCCTTTTGACTTGCGAGATGATGGACGAGCAAACGATGTGGCTGTGGTGGATGACGAAGAAGTGTAATTTGTTGTGGATGATGTAGGAGTAGTGATAGTTGGTGACTTGGATGATGACAAGGCGCTGGCGAGTTCTGGGTCTTCTTCTTTTATCTTGTTGTTGCTCTTCCGTCGCTTCTTCGGTCTGTCTTCGTAGGAGGGTGGAACTGGATTCCGCGATGCCGCCAGGGACGATACAGTGTCTTTTCTGTCACAAAGTTTTCGAACGGGACTGGACGGCCGAGTGTTGGCTGCGCTGGACTGGGCTTCTAGACACTCTAGGTTATGGAGGAGGTTTTCTGTCGTTTCCTCGACTGTGGGTTGTCCTGGAGGCAGACGATAACCTTGGTGAGCAAATCCAGAGTCAGATCCCCATTGTAGCATACTAGGGCCCAGCTTCGAGGCGCTGGCTCGCATTCTTGGTTGCTGATGGTCATTTGCCGGTGAGCGGTGTGCAGCAGGGTCGAAAATCATGGTACTGGTATGTATCCCCTTTGGAATGACAACGAACTCCTTTTGCGGCACAGACCCGTCGTTATACCGACCCAACTGCGCACGCTTAGCATCTATCTGATGGCTGTGATGCTGCTGCTGCTGCTGCTGCTGCTGTGGCAGTGGTTGTTGCTGTTGCTGCTGCTCCTGGAAGTGTATGTTGCTGTTGGTATGATAGTTGGCATTGCTGTTGTGATTCAGCAGGCCATGCTCAGCGTAGAGTTGGTTGTGTAGGGCAGAGAGGTTATCGTGTCCGTTCTGGTAGAGCATTTGTGCTGCAGCAAGGACATCTGAGCTCAGGGCGGCCGACCTATCCGGTGTAGAAATGGTTCCTGATTGTTTGGCTGGGTGAGGATGGTGAGACTGTGGTGTGGGTAGATTCGTAGCAGAGCCCTCGAAATTTGGCGGCAACTCAGGCCAGCTGAAGTTACCGCCAGGCTCAGCACCATTCTGCTCACCAAAGGAGAGCCAAAAGTCGTTGTTATCGAACTGGCTAGCATTTAGAGAGGTGAAGAGGTTGTCCAGCATGTTAGATTCACTATCGTCCAGGAGGGCGGGGCCCAGCGGACGTTCTGGCGCAGAATCAAACGGTGTGTCTTGCGGTGATATCAGGGCATCTGCCTCAGTCAGTCTTGTCTCTTCTATTTTTATTCTCTTGTGCCTGCCCTCTCCTTCTCCCTCGTATACTTCAAAGGGATACGTACAGCCAAAAGGCCCTGGTGGAGGGGTTGAAGAACCCTTCATATGATGGGCGGACTCAGAGAGCCCCAGCTCCATGCTACACGCGAGTCCACTGCCCAGGTGAGAGGAGTTCGAGTTTGGGTTGGCAGAGAAGAGAGACCGCCTGAACGGCGACACCGTCTCAGTCATGCAAGAAACCATTTAATGTGGCCAGGATTGGGATATGCTGGAGTATATCAACTGTGTATCGTAACGAGGGCGTCTTTTCCAAACCCCCCGTCAGCGGAAGTATAACTATACCGGTACAGTCCAGGAACAGGAACCAGATAAGAATGGTCGAAAGCCAGCGTCAAGTGGTCCGTCAAGTTATCGCCAGGAACGCCAGCGAAGAGAGAAAGAGAGTCGGCAAAGTCGAGTCAAGCTGTCATGCCAGGACGCCGTGTAGTCAAGCAAGCAAGCAAGCCAGCAAGCAAGCAAGCAGATAGTAGTAGTAGTAGTAGTAGTAGTAGTCGTAGAATCGAACAAAAAGTGTGGAGGAAGCAAGCCACCCTTTATCTTCTATCACATGCGACTCGCAAAGCCAAAAAAAGAAAAGGAAAAAAGGCGTGCGGGCCGTGTGATCGCTGGCTGAGGTAAGCAGGATTGGGCCAATAGAAAAAGAGCGGAAGAAAGTCGAGCCGACCTTGATATGGGCGACCGGATGGTGGAATGGGCGACAGCGACAGCGACAGCGAGGGCGAAGAGATGAATGGAAAGGGAAGAGGGTGCAAGGGAGAGGCAGACAAGGGCGATAATAATAGTTGAGGGCTGCTAAGATACCGACACTGCGTTCACCGGGCTGGCCTCCCGATCTCTGATGGAGTGAGCGACCGCTAGAGGCCGACCCTTCTTATACGTAGATATAAGTATAGACTTCTGGTTTGCCCCAGTTGTCTAGCGTTGAGGCTATTGCGAGCTAGCTTTCCAGAAGTGTAGAAGACTCCGTCACCTTAAAAAAAAAAAAAAAGAGTGGACAAGACGGCCAAAAACAAAAAAACAGGGTCTCAACTTTGGCGTCTGGCTCGTCGCATGGCGGTATTTCCTGATCCATCAAGAGGGCCCGAAAAGGGAAAAAAGGGGGTACTTTCTAGGGAAGAAGCAAGCATTAGCACGTATTCTCCATACTTTCTGCACGCTGCATGGAGCAGAGACAAATAGCAAAAAAGGAAAAGAAAGCAATACAGAAAAAAAAAAAAATTTAAACGAGAGAGCGTCATCGAGTTTGCCTCGATCGATCTTCGCTTCTGGCTTTGTATTTTTGTATTTTTTTTTTTTTTTTCACCATCTTCCCATAATTAGTTTACCTGAGTTTTGTGCAGGATGGGACTAGATGCTCTCGCCGTCGATTGCGTACGAAGCTGGTGGTCACTGTCTCGTTCCAGCGGCCCGCAACCGACTGGGATTCCCTTCGTCGTGTTGGCCCAAGGCCTATCAGGACCGACAAAGATGTCATCCCCATAAACTCCGTCCGGACTGCTACACACCACGTCTATAGAGATACTCTGTCTTTCCCCAGCTTGTGTGCAGAGCCCGAACCCTTAACTTATTCTTTTTAAAATTAGAGACCCGCAGCGACCAGGATCGGCTCGGTAGGCGAGTTGAGATGAGATGCAGTTCGGAAGGGTTCCTTGATGGCTTGTACGAGCTTACTTGCCCATCTTGCAGTTACATAGGTAGGTATCCTGCTGGGGTGGCGTTAGCTATGTCTGTAGCCTGAAGTATTGTTATGATGATGGTGTTAGTTACACACCTCGACCACACCATAGAACGAAGAAGACACGATAGTTACTCTGTAGCAGCGAGAGCTCCCCAGCCAGCTGCACGCGAAGACGCTGAAGAGTCGAGGGCCCGTCAGCGAACTTCCCTGATCCCGGCCTCGGAGGTTTTTCCTCTCCCTCTGGCTTCTCTTTTGCTGCCCAGTGGGCGTCCTCAGCAGCGCTGTCGCGTCGTCCGTCGTCCGTCCAGCGTCCAGCGTCGAGCGGAAAAGAAAAGCAGCTACAAGGAAGTTACTTGCAGGCTTGGCTTGGCGGCTAAAATCTAACCGCGGCTCGCCCTTCACGTGCTTGTACCTCGCCCGTACCTCCAGTTCGCGCTCGCTAGCGACCTCGCCAGCAACAACCACCTCGACGACGCTCGATTGACCGCCAGCGACGACGGCGCGCGCTGCAAGTGCTGCCACCGTGGACACCACGACGACGCTGGAAGACCGGCTGGCAGAGGTTGGCAGCGACCAATAATGCGATCGTGCCCCGCAAGCGGACACCTTCCGACATCCGTGATCAGATCATCGACCTCTTTTTAAGGACCGACTCTTCCTTTAGCGCGTTGGTACTTCATGGGGGTCCCCCCCCCTCCTCGCGTGTCGACCACGGCCCTCCTCCTCGTCCTTGCTGCTGCTGCTGCTGCTGCTCCAGAGGACCCCGGGCGGAAACGTTAACCTTGGCTTCGACTCGGGCTTTGGTGGTTTCGGTCGAGAGCTATGTCGACGCAGCGTTCCAAGGTCGCGTTCGACCGTCTACGCATCTTGAAACCGTATGCACCGAACCCGCTCCTATATATTCCCTGTCTCTCTTGTTCTTGTCTCTCAGCCGCTCTGCTTTCTTCTAACATGGGTGTTCTTCGAACAGGGTTGCTCGGGCGTTTGCGCTTGGATATCTCACTACGACCCTGCCGAAACTTATCTCTCTTTTAAAAATTCTGCGGCGGAGAGACGTTGGCGCCGCAGAGAAGCTACAGCGGGTAAAGGAACATCATCTGACACTGCTAGTCTGGAACAAGTTTGTTATTGACATGTCATTATTGTAGTTGATCCGCATCTTGCATTGTGGTTTTAAATGGGACCGCTTTCCAGTTTTCTGTGCTCTGCTGGCGGGGGGCTCCTCCATCCTGCCTCGTGCCCTGGAAGTTGTCAGATTAAGATTCGCCTCCAGTGGGTATCTCCAATCCCTGCCTACGACTGGTATTCCACTTTCGTCGAACCGGCCGTTGCGGTTCCTAGCGGCCTTCTTGTCCGCCCTGATCTGCTTTCCAATCCTCAATCGTACAGCAAAACATCCGTACGGCCGGCATGCGGGACTCGACAAACACGCTTACTCCGATCAATCGAGCGTGGCCAAGAAGAATAAGGACTACGGCAACAGCAACGGCAATGCCGGCGGCAACGACTTTGACGACAACGACAAGCACCACCTTGCTGGTCGCACCCTAGACTTGACTCTCTTTGCGACAACTAGGGCAGCAGATGCTATAGTCAATCTGTTATGGTCTCAGTGGAAAACCTCCCCACGTGTCGCGCATGGCAAAAGCAAGACCGGGCAACGGGTGCGCTCCCTTGCCCCCAAACTCGCAGATACTGGCCTCTTCGCTATCAGCTCCGCTATTGTGATGTGGGCTTGGTTCTACCTCCCCGAACGACTTCCTTACTCCTATGGCAAATGGATCAGCGAAGCTGCCCAGCTTGATAGCCGCATCCTTGAGGCCCTCCGGACTGCCCGCAGAGGTGAGTGGGCCTACGGCCGCGACAACGGCGATCAAGTGGTCCTCGAATCCATGTGTGCAGACTACGGATGGCCAATTGAATGGGGCACTCCCCAAAAGACAGTTCCAATTCCCTGCGAGATAGTGCACATGGGTTGTGGTCCGAACTGTGAAAAAACAGCCATCTGGCGATTTGCTAGAGCTTTCAAGTTTGCTTGCGCCACGTACATTCCACTCCAGATCGTGATGCGTTGTCGATCCCGCAATCTCAAGACATACATCCATGCTATCAAGAGCGCGCTACGTTCATCCACATTCCTCGGCCTTTTCGTTAGCCTGTTTTATTATTCCGTATGTTTGGCGCGTACAAGGCTGGGACCTAAGCTGTTTAGCTCAAAGACAGTCACACCTATGATGTGGGATTCTGGTCTCTGCATCGCTGCCGGCTGCGCAATGTGTGGATGGAGCATCTTCGTGGAATCAGCAGGGAGAAGGCAAGAGATTAGCATGTTTGTTGCTCCCAGAGCACTGGCTACACTGCTTCCCCGGGAATATGATAGAAAGGTACACCCTTAAATCCCTGCAAATACGTTCCCGTTATACTAACTCATCGTAGTATCAATGGAGAGAGAGGCTGGCTTTCTCTCTCAGCACCGCTATTCTCGTTGCCTGCATACATGAAAACCCAAATATGGTTCGCGGCGTATTCGGCAAGTTCCTGGCTCGCGTGTTCAAGGCATGATAGATCTTCATTATTATTATTAACCTAATACTTTCACCACCATGTATTATTACATTTTTACGTCATTTAACTCTACGAGATATATAACATTAATATATAGATGTCTTCATTCGGCTGCTCGCCATGGATTTTCCGAGTCTGATAGACGCTGGAGCCCAGATAGGTCCACCGGTTATGTCATCTTTGCTAGCTGGAGCCTTATGCATCACGTGAGTAAGGTACAGAACTCTATTTTTACCCTGCGGAAAAAGGGAAAAGCCCCTTTTCAGGAAAACGCAGGGACCTAGGTTGTTACCCTTTAGCACTCATATCTATTCTCCTGATATCCATGCAGAAACAAAAGACACCGGGATAGCGGAGTCCAGTCTCAACTGCTGCGCCTCGGTATGATGCATGCAACGGTTTCTCCGTACAAATACGAACACGAAAGTCCATGCCAGGCAAGCGGATTCCATGAATGGGACCAAAATCTTGCAAGCTCGTTAACTAGTTAGTTACTTGCTAGAAAATAGTGATAAACTCGATCGACTCAGGGATTCATCTCCTTCAAGCAACGATGCCTGACGGTGCACAAGATATGTATCTGTACGACATATTGTTTGCTTAGCTTGGTGGAAAAAATGACGCACGATGGACGACCGAGGTCCAATTGACTATCCAAGCAAACAAGCGTCCACTATGCGTTTTGCAGTCGTATAGAACAATGCCGATCAAACTGAGCAATAGCCCTATAGGGCTAAGGCCTTGAGCTCGCCCAGTACCAGCGATCAGGGCATTAAATCTCAGCCGGCGGTTATGCTTATTTTGAACCTTGCCCGTTATCGTGACGTCGACTATTGTCGTGCCCAGGCAGCATAACTTCATATTATTTAGGCTTGCCTGTTTCAAAGACGGGCTGAAGTGGATAGGTATGGAAGATGTTCAATCACCAACACGCCCTATCTATCCCTGTAAATGAGCTTGAAAAGGGGGGTCTAAGGTTGACAACCCTTTTGGCGGCCGTCAACAAATGCGGAAAATGCAATAAGTCCCTTCCCCTTGGTGTTCCTCTCCAACACAGCGGATTCGAATTCCGCGCTGACAGATCTTTTCATTCTGTAACGTTTTTTTTGGGTCGCCGGCGTGGGCCTACATGGATTATAGATTATTGACAAGGATAGAGCTCTTTTCCTCGCAGTATCCCTGCCGTAGCTAGGGAAGTTTCAATACTCCGCTTCCTCAGAACATGTCGGCTTCTTAAAAAGATCAGGCTGACAGGGAACAAGCTTCAGAATCCTTTTGAATGGGTATTTTTTTCATCTGCCTTGTCTTTTTTTGGAATAAAGCGCAATGCAGCTCGTGGACTAGAGAAGCCGCCGTTCGCCCATGAAAAAGTCTTCAGACCAAATACCCAATTCCATCTGGATCAGGCGATCGATTCTTGGATTGGCCAGGGATACGAAGACGACTTCTGAGGCTTGCTCGTAAAAACACGTTAGGCGAAAAGGAATAATAATGATCACCAGCGCCTGGAAAGCCACGTGGATTGCTTTTTAATTCTGCACTATTGGATTTCTGCAGGTTTTTCCTTGCTTAGCAGGAGTAGATATTAGAATACCAAATGGGCTGGCCTTCAAGGTGCCTTTAGTCGTTCGACTTGACGACGCCATCAACTTCAAAATCATGGAGACAAAAACGAAAACGACCAAAAGAAATATGGAGATTATATAAGCGTATTATATAAGAAATTATTAACAACCTTATTACTAATCGTTCGGAAAATGTTTCACCCGTACCTGCCCGTTGAGGTTGAGTCATCCATGGATGCCGACTTCGGGCAGTTTTGATGCCTATCGGGCTGTGAGGTGGAAGAAACAATTTTGATATTGATATTGAATCTGACAATTGAAGGCTGAACAGAAGCTATTAAGATGACTATGCCTTCGAAGAAACGCTGCGGTAAGCCACTTATCCCAATTGCAAAATTATTATACTAACTGTATGTTCTAGGTGTTCTTGGAGCAACCGGTGCGGTAGGCACGCGATTCATCCTCCTACTCTCACAGCATCCGTTACTCGAATTGGTTGCAGTAGGCGCCTCAGACAGGTCATCAGGCAAGAAATACCGTGATGCCGTTCGTTGGAAGCAATCGGCTCCCATGCCCGCCAAGGTGGCGGACTTGACTGTCCGTCGCTGTGACCCCGCCGAATTTTCAGACTGCGATATTATTTTCTCCGGGCTGGACCCAGATGCCGCGGGCGAGATTGAGATGGCCTTCCTCAAGGCGAATTTTGCCGTTTTCTCCAATGCAAAGAACTATCGACTGGATCCCATGGTACCGTTGGTGGTGCCCCTCGTTAATGCGGGGCATATCGATGTGATCCCCGCACAGAGGAAGCATTTCGGTCTTGATAAGGGAATGCTGGTGTGCAATTCCAATTGCGCTGTTGTAGGATTGGTCGTCCCGGCGAAAGCTCTCATTCAGAAGTTTGGACCCATCGAGTCGGTGAGCATGGTTACCATGCAGGCTGTCTCAGGAGCCGGTTATCCTGGTGTCAGCAGTACGTATACCTATCAATCACCTCAAACATGCAAGTGCTAACTCATTGTACCAGGCATGGATATATTTGATAATATCGTTCCATACATTCCCGGTGAAGAAGGAAAAATATCTAGTGAAGCACGCAAGATTCTAGGAGACCTTAACTCCGATCTAGCTGGATTTAGTGACCAGAAACCCCTTCAGATTTCTGTTTCTTGTAACCGTGTTCCCGTCCTTGATGGTCACACCGTCTGTGCATCTCTCCGTTTCGTTAACCGCCCTCCACCTAACGCAAGCCAAGTACGTGAGGCTCTACGGGAGTACAAGCCAGAAGTCCAGACATTAGGATGCCCCTCCGCTCCCAAAGAGAGCATTCACGTCATGGATGAAGTAGACCGACCACAGCCTCGTCTTGATAGGGAGACTGAAGGCGGATATGCCTGCACTGTAGGCCGAATCAGAGAAGATGACAGTGGTGTCTTTGATATCCAATTCGTTGCTCTTAGCCACAATACTGTTCTCGGGGCATCCGGTAGCAGTATCTTGAATGTGAGTTTTCATTTCCCGCCTACGGTACATGAATAAATGCTGACAAGTCTATTCAATAAATTATAGGCCGAAAGTGCCATCTTGAAGGGCTTTGTCTAGCCTACATTAGATAGGCCGGTGTCTTGGTACACCAAATGCTTGCTATGATACATGCTTGAAATATAGACATGGATATCCTCCCTTCATCTCTCATTAACCTGATCTATCAGCTATCATTTGCCCTTCCGACTCCGTGCTCGTACGAATTCGGCAAAGTAGGGTTGCGTTATTAAACATCCACTGCCCGGATCTTATCCATGCATCGATTGATAGGAATTTAAATTCAAGTTTAGATTTCTCCACGTCCTATCTATTGCAAATCGATTACATGGAATAGAATACATAGCAAACAAGGAGATATCGAGGAATCATATTGGGATTATAGCAATATATGTTCATCCATATTTTATTATGTACAAGGTACAGTGTATATACAAAAAGAAATAGGTCTCGGACCGGACAATTAGATTCAAAAACTCAAGCAGATAAGAGCCATCAAGAAACCGTAATGGTTCATGGGCTGATACCTAAGGTAGGATTGCAAAGCCTTTAGCAGCCAAGGTAGATAGCTATATAAAAGTCAGTCATAATGAATTCTACATCAGATAAATGGAGTTTACATACCGTTGGCGAAAAGGGAGTAGGTATCAGCGTTCTGGATGGCCTTGGAGGCTGGGAGAGCAGAGACACGCTGGTAACCATAGCCGAGATCCTCGCAGAAAGGAGTGACAACAGCAGGGTTGTGGGTGAGCTCGTGGAGAGTGGTGGTGGCCTGGTCCTGACCGTGGCAGCGGTTGTTAAGGGCAGGGAGCTGGTAGTAGCTGGGGCAGTTGAAGACCTGGTTCTTGGATGGGAGGGTGTAGGCAAGGACACCAGGGTGGCAACCGCCTCTGTTATCATTGCAGTAGTAGGTGGTACGGCCAGTAGAACCAGAGCTGGACTCGCGGGCGACGGACAAGAAACGGCTGGCAACCTTCTGGACGGTGCGGCTGTCAGCGGTCTTGAAGTACTCGCGCATCTTGCTGGGGTTTCTCTGAGCAGCGGAAGCGGCAGCTCTGGAGAGGCGGGAAGCGTTGGAGAGAGCAGTTTGGAGGACACGAAGCTGGCTTCCGCGGCAGCTGGAGGTGACAATGTTGGAGCGCTTGTCAATAACACCGGTGGAGTCGTCACCGCCCATAGCCTGTTCAACAGCAGCGGCCTGCTTTCCATCAACATCCATGGTGAGCTCGTTGGACTCATAGAGAGTGTGACCGGTAATGGTGGTTGCGTTCTCCTCAGCGGTAGGGACCATTCCATGTGCCTTGACAACGATCTTTCCGCCACGGCTCAGGTCGTGAGTGGCAGCAAGATCAAAGGAGTGCTCAACACTGGCTTTGGGGCCAAGGTTGACGAAGTACTCAGGGGTGAGGTCAGACATCTTGTAGCGGGGAAGCATTCCAGTGAACTGGACCTCAGCACCTTTTGTATATAGTTAGCATTATACTTCGATGAGCAGGTAATAATATAGGAGGCTTACCATCTTGGTAGACCATAACCTTGCGGGTTGGGTGCTCATCCATGATGGTGTTGAACTTCAACAAGTTCAAGGTACGGTCACCAGTGTTGGTAATAGTGGCCTTGATCATAGAGTTACCAGTAGCAGCCAGCTGGACATCAATCATGGAGTGGTTGTGAGCAGCAGCTGGGATAGAGGCAGCCAGTGCCAGAGGGGCGCCGAGAGCGGCGAGAAGAGCAGTGAATTGCATCTTGAGCTCAGAAGCACAGAGGCTTAGGGCAGAATAAGCTAAAAAAAAAAAAAAAAGGGAAAGGAAAGGTAGGGAATGTAGTGAATGACAGTGTAATGAATGACTATGTAGGGAATGACTGAAAGGACTGACTGGTCTGGCTTTCGAAAAAGGTGTTCGTTGTGGTGGTGAGAACCTCCTTTTTATATCTTCTTCAGAGCACACAATCTCGCCCTTCGGATATATCCTAAGGAAGAGCTGACGCTCCATCCAGCCCTTCGCAGTTGGAGCTAACTTGTATCGAACATGCAATAGCAAAATCCCCGGAATGATATCATATCAGAAGGACGGTATAGCTTGGACAGGGAGAAGGCGATGTAATTGGAGGATATAATTCGCTGCTCGGCACCCATGTGTACAATGTGATCCACAGGTAATATAACTTCACCAGGGTATGAAGTCTTTAAGTTCCGGGAAAGGCTTACCTCTTGTTAGCAAACGCCCTGTCCAAGGGCGGAGTATCATTCCGAACGCTAGCTTGTGAAAACAATAGGAGGATGATCTTATTTTAGACCGACCGAGACACAAGGCAACTGGTCGTTTTGTGGTCTGCGCAAATGCAGGCCCCAACATCTGTCTCTGCTCTGCATAAGGGATGGATATCATTTCTTTTCCAAGGACATACCACCATTCTAGGTGAGGTGCTTAAGATTTTCGCGAGTCACAGCAGTGGTACGGAGTACTCCGTAATAATCAATCCACCATCTCGCTGGCGAAAACATTTTGTGGCCTTTATTTTGTGATCTTCTCCGCATTGCTGGAGCCGTGGAGCACAGAAGTCAAGCATTATGGCATATCAAACCCACAGATCGGCTTGAAAGAAAAGTCTGGAAAAGTAGCCGTACCACAGCTAGCCTGAACAGGTAGTTATCTAGAAGAATTCATACCACACTTTGAACGAGCGGGTTTTGCAGGATAGATGGGAATGTGGAGAAGAGTTATGCATGGCATTTTCAATCGTCATTCCTCTATCGATATACAGAGTACTTGCTGTAGCATCCGAGAGGTGGTGCGACGGTTATTATCTGAGCTTCATAGCTGCCTTGCAAAACCGCGGAAGGGACATTAAATCTGATCGAGAATAACACACTCCGTACAGATTATGTGCCGTTTGTATGTCAAATTCGACATAAACCTAGAGGCAAGATTTGGACATGTGTAGGGCGTATGACCGATCTTCACCTCAAGTAGAAACGTTGCGAGGCATGAGGATCGCCATATTTTCTAAGACACGGGAGAGCAACTTCGGAATGTTTTTACCGGCATCAAAGGCGTGGATGGCGGTAATTCAACCTTGAGATCGGCGAAAGTTCCATTCAAATGGATGAAACAGCTAACTTGTGCTAAGGGAAAAAAAAATTTTTGGCGGGCATACCAAGTCCTATGGTTTGGTATCTCTGTTCACCTCTGAATATCTAGCTCCACGATTATCATTACCAGTGCATTCAGGATGCCAAAAAGTATAAGCAGCCTTACAGCTGGCGGTGCATCTAAGTCTTTGGCATGAGGAAATCTGCCCGGTAGTTTGTAAGGTTGGTTATGGAGTATCTGTTCCGAGGGTAATAATGATGCTCTACGGAGTACCTGTTTGCTGGTATTTGGCATATGCTGGGATCTATGGCCACGACCACTCGTACGAATCGAATCCATATATCTCCGCTTGGTGAGGCTCTCAACATCGAGTCGGAATTCAGCAGGAAGCCAGGTGACGTGATGAGGATCAGCCACCTTATTCTTCTCGGTGTTATCCATCAACTGATACAGCGTGCTGGTGCATGCAGGCTCCGTGGTCTTGGAGTGGCTGTGAGCTGGGCATATTATCCTTTCAGCTTTTTCGACCGGAGATGATATAATTCCCCATCCCGGATCCTGGGATCAGGATGCTTTAAAGGAGTGGATCATGGGTTAAGGTCGATTGCGTGTCTGTCTGAGGTTGTCTAAGCGCAATTATGGGGGCTGAAGCCATTTCTATCACCAACTTCTTCACTGTAAGAAAGGGCTGCAATGTGGCCAGGCTGTCTGAGACAGGAATTTTATCAGGACAAGATCGTTGTATGAATAATGTGAAGCCACAGAATGCCGAGAAACTGACAGGTTCAGGAGGTGAAGACGAGTTGAAGTTCGCATTTCCCCTTTTTGGACCCACAGGTGGTGGGTGATGACTAAGCCAGCACAAAAACGGGTATTCCTCCAGAAGGATGAAAGACTTTCAACGTCATCTCTATTTCACAGTCGACCATGTTATGGCGTTGAACGGCTTCATTGACCTTGAATTTGGGTCAGTCCCGGCAAAAGAACGGACAGGAGCTTTTCGAGCCTCTTGAAAGTTCGTCAAATGGCTGGAAATATGATACCCTTTCTTACTGAGACATATTGGTCAACCACTCACTCAAATGAAGATACCCTTTAAATGCCACCGGCGTATATCTCTTCTCTGTATATCTCCTAGTTACATCATACCTATGATGTTCTGAAGCCGAGTACCAATAAGCCTTCAATACCGCCTCCATGGGAGTACTTTAACATCGCCAACTTTCGACGAACCCCTTGTTCAATGCCCTGGAAACGCGATTTTAATAGCCCCGAGTTACTAGGAATACCTCAATAAGATGATGCTCTTAGAGCCATGGAATATCAAATATCGTGCAGCAGATTCTTTGCGACAAGGGAAGTCAAGAAACAGGATATGATCATCATCATATGTTATCCAAGAACTACCTATGGCAGGAAACTTCCATATATCTTCGGTACATGGTCCTGATGGGAGTGGCCTGCAAGACTCACGCCTGAACCCAGTGTCCTGCCTCCCCTGTTTTATTAACAGGAGTAAGGGTATATTCCACGGCCGTCAGCAAAACACAAACACCTGATAAACTTGAAGTATACGTTACTCGGTACTCAAACGTATCTACCATGTCAAAGTCTGGTAAGCAATCTTAACCCTTAAAACGTGGGGCAGTAGGAATCAATACCGGGTAAATGGCGTTAACCAGATGATATCTAGCAGTTGAATATGTCAGGCCAAATTACTGACAGCTACCTGGGTGACGGGGCTGGCTGTGAGTGTACATGTCCGGCTTATTTGGCAACGCCATAGACTCAATGTGTTTCTTTCTGGCCCTTTAAAATATAATCGAACGACGAAGGTCCAGCTAACATGAACGACGCGGTAGAGGGGATTTGGCGAACCCTACCCCGTAGCCCTCCACGGGCTGAAAATTCGTGCATTTAAGGAAGTCTAAAGGTGAATTTGAACGGGCGCAAAAACTTTAAGACGTGCTTGATGGTCCCATAAAGTGCATACACACCCGCCTACGGAGTCTTGATGACGTGAACACCGTCATTATTCAATAATTCCTTGACGCGGTGTGACGAATAAACTGGGTACATATTCAGTCTCAGCAGCTCTCTGGGTTGTGACGGTAGTAGACACCATACAATGATGAACAACTCAGCTCCGAAAAAGGTTCATAAATATGGAGAAGTTAACATTGAAGCCGGAGGTGAACCGAGGCATTATCAGCCAGCCTTCTAGGAAGGACCCTATTCCCTACACAGCTTTGAAGGCTTCGGGGGTCACGGACACACCCATGCTGTAGCCTGACAGGCTTTCCAAAACAACCCCTACCTCACCCCTGGCCATTCGTTCTTCATATCAATATATGGAAGAAGAGTATAATAGATTTTGGTTTCATGATTCTGTTCTCGCGTGGATTCCAAAATACACATATACGGAGTATTTAATTCAAAGCTGTCGGAGCTGTCGGTCGCAATTGAGATAGAGCTTTCATGTTGGGAGCCCTACTTCAATGCTAGCCATGGTTCTCCGTATTCGAAACGATAATATAGGCGTACCTACGGCCCATGCCCGGCTTTGAGAGCGAGAGACTCGAGTTGTTTGTCTAGGCACCCTGGCACATAACCCACTCCCCAGGTTACGCTAAAACTGTGACAGTCCGCATGGGGCAGCCAGTGGATGCCAGCTCCAACATCCAGATGGAGCACTTACTTAAAAGTTGGTCAACAGGCGAGAGGCACTCCATAACTCACTGTTAAGGACTGGTCGGGAAAGATTGATGATCAACACCTCGACTTATATGCCTGACTGACAATATTACCAACTCGCACAAAACTTTCATCTGAGCAACTTCGCAAACGACCCGGAAGAATCGAATTGCACCGAGATAAATCAAAAAAAGGAGGACAGATGTTGTCTGAAAGATCACTAAACGGCTTGGTATCTTCTTATTAGTGAGGGGTGTCGCTTGAAGATGCGAACTCGGACTTCGAGCTCCCGATGTCAGTATAGTAATGCTCGACAGCTCAAGAGCTTCAGCGAAAAACGTGGAATCAGAGGTCGACATATCCATGAAGATGCTTGTTTCACGCTAAAGACAAACGTCTCGTATTCCACACTCCGCGACTCAGTGGCCACTCACAAGGCGACTTGTGGCTAACAAAACCATTCTCTGCATCCCTGCCAAGGGGGGATTTATCTCATTTGAGTCCACCTCGCTTATATTTTTAGGTCCCCCTTTTCCACGGAGCTCGGAGTTAAGCTCCAAATAAACTACGGAAGTATGTGGCCGACAAGGATTGCATAACTGATTGTCAGCCTTTATGCAAGGTACCGGCTGGCATTGACCATGAGCTGGCCCAACAGGCACAACATTTTCATGCATCTCGTCACACATTTCGACTTTCTTTTCTGAGCAACTAGTGAGTTCGCATCCCGCGCCGTCCTCGTCACAACAAATGTTGGCACACAGGCAAAGAAGTCGAGTCAAGTCCATGCCCCAAAACGACCTTGCATGTCTGCTGCCAACTAGCTAGCCAAGGACGTTTCACGTAGTTATGCCGACTTTCCGATATGGAGCCGAGTCGAAAGAGGAATGTAAGTACGACGGGGAACCCCCCAGTGCTTCAGCGTCGAGCTTGTTTCTCTCCTCCGCAGAGCTTTG